GTGGAGTATTTATATCGTCATCGGTATGCTAAAATAACACTAGATTTTATTTAGCTCTATTCTATATGTTGGTTTAAACATTGGGATGTTGAATGTTATAAAAATGTTCTAAGTTGCTTCGTGTTTTTGTCCCTTCACTACTTAAGTTGTACGCTTAAGAGTTGATCTATACTCTTATCCTTTCACCCCTTGGGTTGTACATTTAAGAGTTGCTCCATGCTCATATTCCTTCACTTTTTAGCTTCATATTATTATATGTGACATGTGGCATGTGGAGTGTAAACAAAGTGTTTAATCCATGTGTCAATGGTAATCCTATGGTAAATCACCATAAGGTAAAGGGTGAAAACCATATATACTACATTATTGCTATGTTTTCTCATAAACTTTTTTAAAGCTGAATTGAAGGTATTGAGAACATAAGGTTGAGATTTAGTCAAGTTGAATCCAAAAATAAAGTATTATAATTATAAGTAGATTAATCAGGACTATAAAAATTAATCTATTGGTTCAAATAGTTATTGCTATGTTCTCTCATAAATTTTTCTAATGCTAAATTGAAGGTAGTGTGAATGCAAATTTAAGGTTTAATCAAGTTGAGTCCAAAAATAAAGTATTAGGGACAAAGGATTTTGAATATGATTATGAATGGATTAATCAAGATTGTAGGGATTAGTCTATTAGTTTAAATAGTTATTGTCATGTTCTCTCATAAACTTTTCTAAAGCTGAAATAAAAGTAATGTGAATGTGAAGTTTAGTTAATTTAAGTCCGAAAAGGCATGAAAAGAGTGTATTAAATTACTTTTTTTTTTGAGTTTCTGTTGTTGTAATTCTCAAGAACTTTGATGCATTTTGGTGAAATCCCCTTCATGTATAAGATTAATATCACTCACTCTCCATCAGTGGGGAGCTTAAAAGCTCACACAAAATATTTGGCATGTATGAAAAACTTGTGTAGACAAAGTCTTCCTAATATGCCGAGAGAACCTTTTTCGTGATGTTGAGATCATATGGCTTATCTATAATTTTTGGAAGCTCATAAAGTCCAATCTCATATAACCATTTGTTGAACTCTTCAGTCCTCTTCCAAGTTGGATAGTATGAAGATTCACCCAATCATGCTGAGGACCTTGGGATCAAAGATAAACTTGATAATGCCATGCACTTGCATGCTAGTCTCAAATTAAGCATGGACATCCAGAGCACCAGCCCCCACTCTCAAACCCCACCTCCACTACTTGTTCCTAGTCCTCCCTGTTTCTCAAGAACCTCTTCCACCTGGGCTCCCTGCCATTTCATCTCCTTCCTGTTGCTCAATCCTGCTTAACCTAATTGGTCAAGTCCTGAGTACAAAGGCTACAATAACCCACCTGTAGCAATTACTCCCCTCTTTAAAATTGTGTGACCTCACACAAAAGACTTATCTTTTATTCTAGCATCATATCCCTCCATCTTAGCCTCACTGAAAATTGCACTAATCACAAAAATCTTTACATGCACGAGGTGTTCGGCACACTCAACCATCATAGCTCATTGCAACATCATAATCACTCCACAATCATAATTCTCTATCTAGGATTAAGCCAACTCACATCTCACAAAGATCAAGCTTTTAGACCATGAGTTTGTCATGCTAGCTTAGCTCTTTTAATTCTCAACTATCTTAAAAGATCTATTGAGTGATACATCACACATAATTTTGTCATGCTAACCCAGGTTACACAATTATCCAACTCACAACCTGTGAGCATCACATCACAAGCTCTTTATCCACAAATTTATCATGCTAGCCCAACTTACACAATTTTCATCTCACAATCTCAAAGATTTATGAGCATCACAACAGAAATCTTCTAAGCTTAAAATTTTCTAGGCTCACTACCTTAAACAATCTATCAATTTATCAGGAGAAAGATGATTAGCATGAAAAGTAGGCCCCTAGCATCCTTGATAGCTGAAGAGCCATGCCCCTTGCCTCCACCTAAAAATGGACCACAGACAGAAATGACTCCTAACTGAAACAAAGTTGACAATTCAAGAATTTAACCTCCAGTGAGTGTCCCTGCACATGCAGAGCACTGGCCCCTACTCTAAACCCCAGCCTCCACTTCCTCCGGCCCATCAAAAACCCCCTTTTCTCAAGAACCTCTTGTTGTTGTAGCGGTCTTTCCCCTTTAAAATTTGTGTGTCCTCACACAACACAACAGAAATTTCACACATTTTTTAACAAATTTCTAACAAGATTTCTTCAAAGCTTCAGGACTGAACCCATTTTTGCAATTTCTCAGGAACACCAGGATAAAAAGCATGCTTTGCTGCTTTATGATTATCATTCGAGATATACATGACTACTTGCTGGAGTGTCACCAAATACTGCTGCACAGTCTCTCCTCTCTGATATTTTTTATTGTTAATAATCTCAAAAGCTTGATCCTCAAGATTACCAATAATAAATAGACACCTTGCCAACTGCACTGCTTCATCTCACGAGATCTGATCTTCTCAGCGTGAAATGAACATTCTCTATGCCCCTCTCTATGCCCCTCTCAATAGAGCCATACAAAAGGCATTAACCTTCTCATCTCCAGCCACTTGATTATTATATGCAGCACACTCAAATACATCCAGGTAAATTTCAAATTCCTCTCCTAGTTGGTAAGTAGGATACTTCAATCTGGCTGAAGAAGATACTTCCTCAATTTTCTTCTCATGACAACTATCTGTGATGTCCCTTACTATCTTGCTTCGTCCTCAGCCACATTTGCCTCATTACTTGCCATGTCTCAAGGAAAATGCTAGCTTGGCACAGCACCAGCCACAGTCAGTTTCATCTCATGCAAAACAAAGAAGTAAACAGCTTTTTTGTCTAGCTCACTTACTATGCCTCACAAATCAGACTTTGAGGTCACACAAAGCTAACCTTGCCACGTCATCAGGCGGGGTACTGATGACGTGGCAGCTCGTTTGGGTCTGCATAGATTAGCTTCAATGCTTGAATATGTCCAAGAAATTCCTGAAGGCCTCGTGAGCAACCCAACTTTGGGAGGTAACGCTTTACAAATTACATGATCCGCATGGAATAAATAAATAAATATTGGAATATTCAACTTCACGCATGGAATTCTACCAACACCACACCACATGGTCTTTTTTCATATGAATAATACTTCATACCTCCAGCCCAACCTTGCAAAAACTTTTCATCGGGATATGGTAAACAGACAATTTCCCATCCAGTTCTTTGAGTTACAGAACATTTACTTGACTGTTTTAAGTGTTTCCTTTCTCTTATACGGACTTCGATCCACACGTGATTTCAAATTCGACGGCTTTATAGCTTGGATGAGCTCGAAGTTTGCTGCTCTAACTCAACAGACCAATCCTTTTAGCTTGGATCTGAAGGCCTTGATTTGCTTTGCACTGACAGCCATTACCAATCCCAGGAGCTGCAACCCTTTGGTCTGGTCAACATCATAGAACAACACTTGGAAAAGATCAAAAGGCGAAAAAAAGTTCGAACCTGATGGGCTAACATAGTTTCGGCCTGGACTGGAAAGGTAAAGTGCCACGAGCTTAACTGAAACAGAACTGCTAGTGAATCCAACGTAACGAGCAAAGGACAGTGTTAGTGTTACCTGGAAAAATAGCTCGTCTTCAGGCTTAATAAATATAAAGTTACCATCTTCGTTTACTGGTTGTTTCTTCGGAACTTTCTGCCAAAACAGAAAGAAAAGAAAAGGGACAATCAGCCTTCTGGAACTCGCGATTATAACTTGCCTTCTTTTTTTTCTTAAGAGTGTCGTGAGTACGAACCTCCTTATAGACCCGAGTTTGAATGAGGTATTGCTGGAACTTGAAGCTCTCCCTTAGTTCCACAGAAGGCTGTTCCAAAAAAAAAGCTTCTTTCAGTTCTTTTAGAAGGTTTTATACCTCGTCTTCGGTGGCCCATGCGATTTCATCGAAGATGGCATCGTGTAGAGGCGGACAGAGCTCCAGAGGGACGTTCATGAGGCGCTGGCTGACAAGCAGTCCAACGTTTTTATCGCTTTGCCACAAAGCTTGGAGCTTGGAAAGCTCTGGACTGTTCTTGGCACGCTTCACAAGGAAGTCTCGGATGGCTTGAATCGATGGAAGCTCCTGCAACAAAGAGGCAAGAGAACGAGTCCGCTGAAAACCAAAGTTCCTGGAGAAGAAATGCGAGTGAAAAATCCCTTACCTTGTATCTCCTAATGTTAAGAGCTGTGATAAGACCAATTGGATCGTCTCCACCGGCTTTGACAATAGTCCCCACTCTCGTCTGGCCGAGGATCAAATTCACGAATCCCGCAAGGTCCCACTCACAATCGTCGAGATAGTTCTGGAGCAGCAGCTTCACGCCGTGATAATCCTCCGGCTTTGGATCAAAGAATTCGAAGTCCACATTCACAGTGGAATTCTGTGGCGAAATCTCTCAAGCACAGCACAAGAAACACGATGGATCTACCTCGTCTGACTCAGATTCTTCGTCGTCGCTGCTATGTGACGCGTCGTGATCGTCGTCCTCGTCGCTAGGATCGCTCGCTATCTCCTTGCCCTTGCGCTTGTTCTTCATGCCGCCAAAAACCCTGGCCCGAGATTAGGGTTTATGAGAATGGCGGCAGAGGGAGGCTTGAAGGTGAGCGCTGTGAATGGCGTCAAGGTCTACTCGATCACGGGGCAGCGCGCGGTAGCATCGTGGCAGAAGACCGCCAGGCGCAAATCCAGGCGCAAGGATGAAGGTACTTCTTCTTCTTGTCTCTTGGAATTTTTGTTTTAGATCGATCACTAGAATGTGTTGCTTGACTGTAGAGTTTTTGAGGAGAGTGGAGCTCATCCAGGATCTCAAATTCAGTGCTGCTGCCACGAGGATGAAAGTCACTCCGGATCAAGAATGTATTATCGCCTCTGGTTCGTTCCATTGCTTGTTTGCGTAGAAAACAAGAAAAAAATGTGATCGTGATGTTATTTCAGGTGTCTATCCACCACAAGTCAGAGTTTACGAGCTCAGAGAAATGTCTCTCAAGTTTGATCGTCACTTCACCTCTGAAATCGTCGATTTCCAGGTCTGGTGTTTGTTCTATTGCATTTGTTTTTCAAGCATTTCTCCTTCCAGGTTTTGGGGGATGATTTCTCCAAGCTCGCATTTCTTTGCACAGATCGATCCATATGTCTTCATGCAAAGTTTGGACGCTACTACAGCACAAGAATACCCAGGTATTTTTTCAAAAGCTTTCACTGTTGAAACGTTCAACTAGTAGTTCGCTCATAGGATGGGGAGGGATCTTGCTTATGACAAATGGTCCTGCGATCTTTTGGTCGCGGCGTCCTCTCCGGAGATATATTGCTTGAATTTAGAACAGGTACGCTGTTCTTTCCATTTCGTAACTTTTCCTTCATGCTTACTTTCTCTCCAGGGAAGGTTTCTTGCTCCTCTTTCAAGTCGCTCTCCTGGCGTCAATGCTATTGGAAGAAGGTCGGTCAGTTCGACATTATCCTGGAAAAGAATCACTCGTTGTTTCTGTTTGGCAGTCCAGCCCATGGTTTGATCGCTTGCGGAGGTGAAGACGGTGCATTGGAATGCTTTGATTTGCGTCAAAGGGCTGCAGTCGCACGGATCGACGCCGTCAAGCCAACGGGAAATGTTGATCAGGTGGAATTATGTTTGCACTTGAATGATTCTCACTTTTACTTCAGGAAGTAACAGCCTTGCGCTTTGACGATACAGAAGGACTCTTCCTAGCTGCGGGAACAAGTGCTGGTCAGGCAAGTGAAAACTTTAAAAGTTATAACCTGGTAAGTTTTCTTTCTTCCCTGTGACAGGTATTAGTCTACGACATACGTTCTTCTGCACCTATAGCGATCAAGGATCACATGTTTGTAGCTAATTCACGCTCTTTTAATCCTTTGTGAGACTGAGACGGACTTGGTTCTCAGGTATGACGCCCCCATTGTCGACATAAAATGGCATGGAGACCTTTCATCACCCAGGAAATTGGTAACTTCGGATACAAAGGTTATTAGAATCTGGGAGCCTGAAACGGTAATTGTACAGTGCTAGTTTTCGACGCGGGCGATCTTAACTTTTGCCTTGTACAGGGAAAAAGCATAACGAACATAGAACCACCGAATGGCCACATCAATGATGTGTGCGTTTTTCCGAACAGCGGGCTGATTTTTGTTGCCGTGGACAATACTCAAATACCTGCATATTTTATTCCCGCTCTGGGACCAGCTCCAAAGTGGTGCTCGTACTTGGAAAATCTTACGGTGAGTGTGATTAGAGACGTCTTGGCGGCTGATTGTACTGTGTTTGCTGTAGGAGGAACTCGAGGACGGTGCACAAACTGTTATATATGACGACTACAAATTCGTGACAAAAGATGATTTAGAACGTTTGAATCTAACCAACTTAATAGGGACGAATTTGCTTCGAGCATACATGCATGGATACTTCATAGATCATCGCTTGTATGGCAAGGTAATCGATGCTGCAACTGTATCAAATTTACAGTTCGTCTTTTCAGGCAAAGTCGATCGCTGATCCTTTTGCATATGAAGTATATCGACAACAGCGTATTAAGGAGAAGCTGGATGAGAAACGTGCATCGCGAATAACAGTGAGATCGTTTTCTGTTTCTACATTCTTTTCTATGGCTTCTCATTCGAGGTGTATGACAGGTGAAAAGAAAGCTTCCGAAGGTCAACCAGGATTTGGCTGCTCGTTTGATAGCAGCCGGTGACGAGGTCGATGACAAGAAGAAAAAACGTCTACGTTCTGAAATTCTTGATGATGAACGTTTCGCGTCATTATTTTCAAACAAGGTTTGTAGCTCTACTTCTTTCCGTGTCCCGCAACACTTACGCTCTTCTCGCCCAGGACTTTGAGATTGACGAGACGGCAGAAGAGTACAAAGCTCGGCATCCAAACGAGACAAACAAAAAGAACGCATCTTTGATCCAAGAGCATTTCGAATTGCAAGAGTCGAGTGGCTCCGAGGGCGACGCCAGCGGCAGCGAAGGCGAAGACAAGGAAACGCACAAATCCAACTCGGCTCCGAGGTTAAACCAACCACTCTCGAAAGCTTTTGTAAAACAACGTACCTCTCTTTTTTTGTCACAGGCTTTACAAGGCTAAAGACGAGATCCACGCCAAGGCATTCCGGGACAAAGTTTCGCTGGCTGCCGAGCACAACATGCCCATGGAGGAGCGCGTCACCGCAGCGCAAAGCAGCAATCCCGTGTCAGGTGGGCGATGGGGCAGCAGAGAGCTGAGTTTCTCACGACAGGAGAGGAAACAAGAGCGTCCCCAAAGAGAAAGCCAGAGCTCATCAAAGCGAGGGATCCAATCGCTGGGATTGAAGTCCGAGGACAGAGGTAGGCCAAGTAGCCGTGGAAGAGGACGAGGAGGAAGAGGACGGGGCCGAGGAGGACGAGGGAGAGGCAGAGGATGATTATAATGCCGTGTTGCTGGATCTATGTCCCCAAGAGGTTGGGGTCCAAATGCCCGGAAGGATCAACAAGAACGCGTTTATCCAGTGCTGGATCATGGTGAGCTGGTGGTGTTTCGCGACGAGGATCACGAGATACAGAACCTGTGGGATGGTTCCTAGCGAATTTTTCTGGTTGATTCCAAAGAGTGGGGCTGGAAGCTCATTACTGCTTGTCCTTCCGTCAGCTGGATCAGGACCGGCTTTCAAATGCATAATGAAAAATCGTGCGGGAAATGAAAGGGGCGATTGTTTCACGCTGTGACGAGGAGTTTGATGATGCATGGGTGGCCATGACGTGCACTGATGGCAAGAGCAGTATATTTTGTGCAGTTTGGAGCCGATTCCAAGTTCTGGTCAGTGGTGGAGGCGCCCAACACCTTGTCAAGAGAAGGTCGAAAGGAGCTTGCTTGGTTGTCCTGTTAATTAAGTTCTTCCTCTCTCCCTCCAGGAGTACTCCATAAGTTTTTCAAGATAATTGTGCTCTCTCCAAAAGCTGGAACTGTAGCACAGAATTCCAGGTTGTCTTGATGTTCAAACCGCTCCAGATCAAGGGGACAAGATTCTTGCGCATGGCCTGTCCATCGGGCTATGGGTGTAAACCGCGGAATATTTCCTGGGCACCAAAGAATGTCTTCGCTTGCATATGCAAAGAACATCGCATTCCAGGATACTAGATTCATCTGTGGCATTTCATCTATATCATAGGCTGTTCAAGAGATTACGTTCTGCTGTGGCATAGAATCAGAAAACTTGTTCGCGTCTTCCAGGTCTCCATTCCACAGTGGCATTTGATAAAACTGCTCTTCCAAATGCCCAAAATGGGCATAGTTTTTCCACCATGGATACCATGTTTCGCGTCATTCCTTCACAGAGACACAAGAACATTCTAGGACAACATCATGAAACGTGTTTCTAGCCTCAGCAAGGTGAAGCCTTCAGGGCATATGCCGACAACATGTATGCCACCACGGTGGAAGAGCCTTTGTTTTGTAAGAAGGCATGTTCCTTTTCCCCTTCTGATTCTTTGCCAGAATCCTACACACAATATATGGAGTATATCATCGAAGCCAAGAGCCACTCAGTGCAGCCCAGTCGATTTCCTCGTCCCCTGTGGGAAAGAGAGCACTCACGCTTTTGGATTTGATCTCCTCTAGAAGAACACTTCTCGGGTTGAAGTGGCGGATCTTAAGGGAGAGTAAGATTTCTCGTCTCATGTTGATTGCCATGCAGCCCGTGTTCCAAACTAGCTCCCATCGATACATCCCGCTTTGTTTTAAACGCGTGTTTTTAAACATTTTTAAAACCCTAGTTAGGGCTACAGCATCATGAATCCCGCGCCCGCGCCAAAGACGAATTGGGCGGATGAAGCAGACTTGGATTTTGGAGCGCTGGTGATCTCTGTTGGCGCAGATTCAAAAGCCGCGCCAGTGAAGCCGCGATCCGAGAAGCTCAACGACGAAGTGGAGACGAAGATCGACAAGGTATGTCATTGGTGTCGAAGATGAGCGGCGGGTGAAATCCTGGTGTGTGGAAAACAGGAGCTCGTCGAGGGCAACAGCTTGTATACCTCGGCCAAGACGTTTGAGGAGCTTAAAATCTCCGAGCCGCTGCTGAGAGGGATCTACTCCGAGATGAAGTTTGAGAGGCCGAGCAAGATCCAGGCCGAGACGCTGCCGCTGATCATGAATCCCCCGCATCGCAATCTGGTGGCTCAAGCGCACAATGGCTCTGGGAAAACTACATGCTTTGTTCTCGGCATGCTAAGTCGCGTCAACACTTCTTTGCACGAACCCCAAGCTCTGTGCGTTTGTCCAACACGAGAGTTGGCACTCCAGGTTCGTAGTTTCTTTGTTGTGCTCGGTGATATGTAAACGATCGATCCTCTTTTTATCTTTTCCTCGCAGAACCAAGCAGTGCTCGAAAGAATGGCACGCTTCACTGATATCAAATCGACCTGTATCATACCTCCTACGGAAAGTATCAGGAGCTCACTCCTCGGACATATAGTCGACCAAGTTATCTTTGGAACTCCTGGGTCTTTGGAGAGGGCTATCGTCAACGAGAGAAACTTAGACGTGCAACACTTGAAAGTTTTGGTGTTTGATGAGGCTGATCATATGCTAGACCAGGTAGGCTTCAATTCTGTTGTGATTGTTTCAATCTCATACGTCCTTGCAGAATGGGTTTCGTGACTTTTCCATGAAGCTATTGCGACGCATCAACAAGCAAGCACCGAGTTGCCAGGTGAGATTTCATTCTTCCTAGCGGCCTACGAAAGAAGATAAGACTTTTCCCTGCAGCTCTTGCTGTTCTCTGCAACTTTCAGCGAAAAGGTGAAGAATTTCGTGTCCAAAAGCATCCCGATAGCAAACCGAGTATTCGTCGAAAAGCTCGAGCTCTCGCTGGACGTCATCAAGCAGTACCGTGTAGATTGCCCCTCTGAAGCTGCCAAGTTTGAGGTTCTCAAGGATAGAATCTTCCCCATTGCCGAGAAGCTCGGACAGTCGATCATCTTCGCCAAGAGCCAACGTAGTGTGACCGAGCTGCACGAGAAGCTGGAAGCAGACGGTCATAAGTGCAGTTCTATCCAGGGAGGATATAGTCCCGACCTCCGTGACAAGATCATCGACGAGTTCCGACAGGGAATAACCAGGATCTTAATCTCAACTGACGTTCTTTCGAGGGGGTTCGATGTCGCGCAGGTGTCCTTGTCAATGCTTTTCTTTTGACGTGTTTTTCTTCGTACCCGTCTCTGACTTGCGGATGCTTTTAAGGTCACCTTGGTCGTTAACTTCGATCTTCCAGTCACGCGGGATTATCCCAAGCAGCCGGACTATGAAACTTATCTACACCGCATCGGCCGAAGTGGAAGATTTGGAAGGAAAGGTAGAAAGAATCATTCAACCAGAGCATGGTTTCACGTGTGAGAGCTTTGCTTGCAGGAGCTGCATTTAATCTGGTTGTCACACAGGAGGACACGAGGATGCTAACTCTGATCGAGGAGCACTTCGGCAAAACCATTTCACCGGTACACTTTTTGTCTCCTTTCCTTGATGGGTTTAAAGCGTTCTCTCTTGCAGGTGGCCTGGGATGATGACGAAGCTTTCGAAAAGGTTTTGAAGGAGGCCGGACTAGCTTAAAAGTCAAGAGGAGTTTTTCCGGAGTTGTTTCGATTTCTATAGCTAGGCAACAAACTATCGCGATTTGTAATGTGATCGAAGAACTAAACTTTCGGGAACAAAGGAGTTCTCCAAACAGTTAAATAGCCGGTTGTGGCGCTTGGTGGCCATTCCATTGGGCGATTTTCTTCACAGGAGACGCCGTACGAACTCGAGCATGCCGGGTATTGGCTGCGGTGGCGTAGGCTAGCGCTCGATCAGGGCGGCAGCAAGGACAGCTTCACCTCCTTCGCATCCCCTTCCAATACAAACGTAACTTGATGGCAGCTAATGTGGAAGATCCTCCTGGGTGACCAGCACTCTCGAAACACTTGACGTGTGACAGTTGCTGAGTATGATGCAGCCTTTCCTGCAGAGAAGTCCCCCATCCAAAACAAACTTCGGGTGTTGCACTCCCGCTGACGGCTGCCGCTAATGCTGATACTCTGGGATGCCGTACACAAGCAGGTACTTCCAATATCATTCCTGACGTGTTTGCAAAACCAGAAGGTTCTGCTAACTCGTCGTCGTTGTTTTTAATTGAGGTGTTGTTGATCCATCAAGAAGCACAGACTGAGGTGATCCACTCGCAAATGGAAATGTCGTAATGATAAGTAGTGGCGCCATTTGCAAACTGTGTGGATCACTGCTGTCATCTCGTGCTCATAAGCGGTCATCCGAGATTCTGCTATCGAGAGCCGTCAACTCTCGAACGCTATGAAGCGACTGTTCTGTAGCAAGACGCCCCCGACTCCCACGTCTGATGCATCCGTCTCGACTACAAATTCCTTGGAGAAGTCTGGAACGGAAAGCAGGCGCTCTTTAAGGAAGGATGCCTGCCACGAAAAGGTAGACAGCATATAATGTCGGTGAGGGCTGTCGCAAAAATGCTGCACAAACTTCCTCAAATAGTTAGAAAAGCCAAGAAAAGCTCGTAACTGGATAGCACCTAGCTTTTCAGGATCAGCCATCAGTGTTCCGTTGGCGATCTTATGTGATCTTTGTCATTCCGAAATTGCATTTGGAAAGCTTGGCCACCATACCATCAGATGAGCCAAGTGATCCTCCCACGAGTGGTTGTAGATGGATATCGTCACCACGAATTTAAAACTATCATTTGTATAAAGCTTCTATCTGCATTTGCAAGTGTTAAGGCACAGTGCATAAAGGATTGACATATATCAATAGTTGAATGATGCTTATCTTGCAATTATCTTGGGTTGTGTATGACTAAAGCATCACAAAAGTAACAACTACTGAAATGATATCCTGCAATTCCACAACTTGAGCAGGAATTGATAATTTTCTATTGTGCCGACATGATAGCAATATTTGTTTAAGTACCTCATATGGAGGAATATAGTAGTATACACTACTCCAATGTGGATCGATGAGCCACATATATTTGTAAAATATGGACTGAGAATGAGAAATTTGAAGATAACTTGCTAGAAAGCCCATTGTCTTAGTCTCTAAATCTTGAAATTCATCTAAGTGCCAAATGTCGTAGGACTATTAAATCCTTTCAAACGCAAGAAACTTCCAAATGCCTACAGCAAAAATTCAAACACTATTTAAGTGGGAATATGGGATTACCTTCACTCTTAACACTTGAAGCATTTGATTCACGACCTGACAAAGACAAATTATTATCTTCTTCCTCTTCTAATAAACTTGAAAAAGATATAATAAATACATTTTTGTTAAATACAAAGATAAAGGCTTACTCAGAATGCCTCATTTACCCACAGTGCAAAGACCAATCCCTAAGTGAACAAACATCTGGGGTCAAAGGTTCTCCATCTACTAAACATATGAACATGCATATATTGAACTAACGTTAGCTTCCTTGTTGACTTCAAGTCAACTAAGTTAATGTAGGTAAAAAAAATTTGATATTACCATGCGAGTAATTGGTTAAAAAATGAGGTGCCTTTCAGTGCTTTGACTGTTACTGCAATATGGTTCTCAGTGCTCTGAGAACCATGGGTGAGAGTGCTTCACCCAGTGCTTCTTGGTATTTTTATATGGTGTCCCATTAACTTTTAGTGTCTTGCAACAATGCGGCCAAATTTTTTGCTCATGTTTCTAACAATTTCCCTGCTGACAGTAATCCAGAGTTTTGCAGCTTCGCCCCTCAAGATTCGCTCCGTCAACCTTGGGGGATGGCTAGTGATTGAAGGATGGATGAAAATGTCCCTGTTCGACGCCATTCTAGAAAACAGGGATCTCCTGGTAGGTTAGGTTCACAAAAGATCATTGCCTATGGATAAGATCTTTTGCAGGATGGAACGCAAATAGAGCTCAAATCCGTGAATCTAGGAACATATGTTTGCGCCGAGGATGGAGGAGGGCAGAAAATGGTTGTGGACAGGCAAATGGCATCGGGCTGGGAGACATTTAAGGTTTAGTCCTCACATTGAGCACAAGAATCTCTGTTCCCAATTTTCAAGCAAATTCTGGTGTAGCTATGGCGAGTAAGCAGCACCAAATTCCAGCTCCGTGTCTTCAACAACAACTTTGTCTCGGCGGCTAATCAGAGCGGCGTCGATTCAACCAAAGACACTCCGGGAGAATGGGAAACATTTGAGATTCTTCGCAATCCCAATAACCCCAAGCTAGTTCATATAAAAGCTTACAGTGGCATGTACTTGCAGGTAAGATCTCTCCAAACATTTCTATATGATCATGATTCATGGCGTCGTTGAGTTCCTTGTGGCTCCAAATTTCCAGGCCAAAGATGAAAACCAGCTCACTGCCGATTACAATGGCGAGCCCGGGTGGGATAACAATTCTGCCGTTTTCGAGATGAGCAATCGAGCCCCTTTTCATGGAGAGTTTCAACTAGCCAATGCTTTCGGTACTTCTTCCGCCGCCCAAGTTGTCTTTGCGGTTCGTATGATTTTCAAAGTTATATCCACGTTGATTACAATGTTATTCTTCTTTTAATTAACGTTTTGAAGAATCATCGAAACAACTTTGTCACTGCGAAGGATTTTGAGTTCCTTGCTGCCAATGGAATCAATACTGTCCGGATTCCCGTTGGATGGTGGATAGCGTACGATCCCAGCCCACCGAAGCCTTTCGTTGGAGGATCTTTGCAAGCTCTAGACAACGCATTTACATGGGCTGGGTGAAAATAGGCTCTTCTGTAATAACTTTCTCTCTTATCCTTCATGGTCACAGGAGCAACAACATCAATGTTATTATCGATCTTCATGCAGCACCTGGATCACAGAATCCCTGGGAGCACAGTGCTAATCGAGATGGAGTTTCAACGTGGAGCAAAAAGGAAAACATCGATACAACACTCGAAGTCATCGACTTTCTTGCTTCCAGGTATTATTTGATCAACTCTAGAAATCCGAGGAACTGACGAAAAATTGCAACATAGCAGATACTCGAGACATCCAGCGTTGTTGGGCATCGAGCTCCTAAACGAGGCTCAAAAGGAAGATGTTAGCCTCGACGTTCTCGAAACTTACTACAAGCAAGGCTATGAAAGAGTTCGGAAATACAGCTCCACTGCTTACGTGATCATGAGCCAGAGAATTGGAGCCGATCCAATCGAGCTCGTCAACACCCTGAATGGCTCGACGAATGTGGTCCTTGACGTTCATTACTACAACGCCTACACTCCAACCTTCGACGACAAATCTGTCCAGTGGCATGTCGATTATATCAACAATGAGCGAAGAACAAGCATTGCAAACCTGGAAAATGCAGGAAACGCTCTCATTTTTGTTGGTACGTTCTTGCCGAAGTTTATTCTTTTATTGTGGAAGAAGTGAATTCACTGGTAATATTTTCCAAGGCGAATGGAGCAACCAAATCAACGTTACAGGAGCTTCTAATGAAGACTTCGCAAGGTACGCAACTGCACAGCTGACGGTGTACAAAGAGGCTTCATTCGGGTGGTCATTCTGGAGCATAAGAAATGAAGATCAATCAAACCTCCACTGGGATTTTGAGAGGTCGGTTCAAACGGGACAGCTTCAGCGTGGAGCCATAAACTGAAGATGTAGGACGTCTAAACAGTTTTAAGAACCTCAAATAGAATAAATAAAAGATAATGGTCTAGCCGTCAGGACAGTCAGTAACCTTATTCTTGTCTCGGATGCGGCAGTAAGGTTTTTTCGAGTTGCAAAAGAAGCTAACTTCAAAAACTTTGTGACAAACATAGCTTGTCGCGACGATGAAAAGCGTGGAATCAGAAGAGAGAGCACTCGTAAACTCGCTGACCACCGGCTACCAGTAGCCGCAGTTCACACTTACAAGCATTTGTATTTGATCCCACAATTTCTAGAGTATGCGAGACGGAATATTCTTGCATTTTGATGGAAAGAACATTTATAAACCCCCACATAATTTTCATTTCGTTTGCACAGAATGGCGAAGAAGCGAAAGGGGGAATTTATGGACATATGGAGGAAGAAACGAATGATGCAGGAGTCGTCTATAAGGCGGAGTGCGACGTGGAATCTGGGTCAATGAGGGCTGACCTGATGAAGCACCAGAAGAAAGCGCTGGCCTGGATGCTAGCGTGCGTCACAAAAGGAGGCATCCTCACGGACGACCAGGGTTTGGGTAAGACCGTTTCGACCATCGCTCTGCTCCTCAAGGCTGGGCCAAGGACCAATGGCACATTGACAAGATCAAAGGTGGCACCCTCATTGTTTGCCCAATGAGTGTGCTCGGGCAGTGGGAGCGTGAAATCACGATCAAGGTGGCGCCCTAGGCCCAGCTCTCCACGCTCGTCTACCACGACCAGGACAAGCGTAAGGGAACGCCTGAGACGCTGGCATCATACGACGTGGTGATCACGGGGTCGTGGCCAAGGAAGTGCCATTCAAGGCCAACGTGGTCACGACGGACGACTGTGGTGTTGACTACAGCCAGATTGCTTCGCTCAAGAAGAGACTTGAGAAGAGCCGGCATCTCCCGTTCGGTCCGCTGGCCAAAGTGGCGTGGCATAGGGTGGTGCTGGACGAGGCGCAATCCATCCGGAAAGCCTACACCCAAGTCTCGCTCTCTTGCAGGGATCTCTCTGCGACCTACAGATGGGGTCTCTCGGGAACGCCCTTGCAGAACAACATCAAGGACCTCTTTGCTTTCTTCCGCTTTCTCCGGATCAGCCCACACAAGTCTCATGCGGATTTCAAGCTCCACTACGAGCAGTTTGAGAAGACGGGCAACTCAGCGACACTCAAGACGGCACTCAAATGCATTGTCCTGCGGCGAAGCAAGACCTCGCTCATTGATGGCCAGCCTGTGTTGAGCTTGCCACCGAGGCTGGTCAGCCGGGTGGAGGTGGAGCTCTCAAACCCAGAGCGACAAATCTATGAGTCACTTTGATGGGAGTACAACAACAGGATTGACGAGTACAGTAATGAAGGGACGCTGCAGAAGAATAGGTTCAAGATCTTGAGCATGCTACTGCGGCTCAGGCAAATGTGTGACCATCCTGCACTACTCAAGAGTGAAGATCTGTTTCAAGGTGATAATTTGGATAATGACGATGAGGACCAGAAGCAAATGAGACAAGCATTGAAGAAGCTCCAGCTGGAGGCCCAGGAGAAGCAACACGATTTTGAGCGAGGTGTGCAGGAAATCGGCCAGTCCGCAAAGTTGAGAGCAGCCATGGGTATTCTCAAGATGACTCTCTGGGAGAGAAATCCCTTGTCTTCTCGCAATGGACTTCTATGCTTGACCTGATCGAACTGGAGCTGGAGTGCTCTGGGATCAAATTCGCGAGAATTGACGGGAGCATGAACATGACAAAACGAGAAGCTGCAATCGGCAGGTTTAACAAGGATCCAGAGGTGATGGTATTGCTATTATCGCTCAGAGCAGCTGGGTGTGGCCTCAACTTGGTAGCAGCTTCGCGTGTGCTGCTAATCGACATGTGGTGGAACGGAAGACCAAGCAATTGACCGGGCGCACCGCATCGGTCAAACCCGGCCGGTCCACGTGACCTGAAGGAGAGCGTGGAGGAGCAGATTCTGGCCATTCAGGAGAAGAAAAAGAAGCTGGTGGAGTTTGCATTTGGCGAGAAAGGGTGTGACGAGAGCATGGATGAGATCATCTCAATGTTCAGAATGTAAAAGGTGATGAAGGATTATTGAAAGAACCCAAAACACACCACTTGTGTTCGTGTGTGTTAGTTTCGAAAAACGTACCAGGGTAGAAATTCGCCGTTGTCGGGGATCGAACCCGGGTCGTCCGCGTGACAGGTGGAAATAGAATTTCGGGACCGTCAAACGCAACTCAGTTTTACGGTCAAGTGGAACTTACTCTTTCCATTTTGCCCGTGCCTGTGAATCTTTTGACAATTCCAGACACCCAGTGGATCTACACAGCTGGTATGAAATCTCCTTATGTCAAACGTCCGTGGACAATACCTAGCGTTGCATTGAGTTTTAGATCTTGCTCCACTCTCCTCAAAAACTCTACAGTCAAACAACACATCAATCGTAAACAAAATTCCATTATCAGGAAGCTAAAGAATGTAAGCTTCTTTTGAACTCTCCCTATCCTATATAGCTTTAAACTATCATAATCTGTGGGTGTCATCCAAAATTTAGGGTTCATTGCTAGCGGGAAAATAGACAAGACCGCCCACTGAAGATCTGGCAGCGGCAAGTACTGCAAGTACGCATCTCTTAGCAAGCAAGCATCAGCGATGCAGCAGATGGGAGTGTGATGTCGCTTCTCTCTTTTTGCCTTTTTCTACTTTTCTTCTCTGCTCTCCCGTTCCGTGTGGGGTCTCTTCGTTGGAGGGAGCGTGGTCGGAGCAAACGGTCACAGTGGGTACTTCGATAGTGGGTACTTGGCTCGAGATTAGCAGATTCGAGAGAGTTTTATATAGATTCAATCGCTCGAGGGACAAAATTTTTTCTAAGGAACCGTACAGATGAAATAAAAGAACACGGAGATGGAAAAGAAGCTGCGAAGAACTCGTTGCTGCTGTGATGGAGCCGAGGAAGAGCTGGATGATGACAATGACTGGCTCGATTTTCCACCCGGGCAGCTCCTCAGATCATCGGATCTAGCAGCGGCAGTAGAGCACAATCCGGTGTTGCCATGAAGATCTAAGTTATCACCCAGTCTCGCGTAGAAACTAGGAGCGAAGGGGACGAGACCGGACAAGAGGTTGTTGCTGAGATTCAAGTGGTAGATGTTTGGGAGTGATCCCAAGCTTTCGGGGATGGAGCCCGTGAGGAAGTTCCTTTCCAGCGCCAGTTCCGTGAGGTTCTTGAGAAGAACAATGGATCCCGGAATGCCGCCCGTGTATCCCGAGTTGGAAAGCCTCAGCTGCGAGATTTTTCCAAGGCTCTTCCAAAAGTCAGGTATGGTCGTGTGCATGGGATTATCCTGGAGGAGGAGTGACTGGAGGTTGCTCAATCCTTGCAGCTCGCGAGGGATGCCGCCAGTGATGCTGTTCTTATCCAGAGCCAAGAACTGGAGATTGCTCAAGCTCCCAAGCGCGGCTGGGATGGATCCATCCAGCGCGTTGCTGCTTAGATCCAGCTTCTTGAGCTGCGCCAGCTTCCCGATCGAATCCGGGATATGTCCCCCCAGCTTGTTGTTGCTAAGATCGAGAATCGACAAGCTCTGCAACCGTCCCAACTCACCCGGAATCGCTCCTGCGAGAGAGTTGTAGCTCAAGTCGAGATTCTGGAGCTTTTCCAGGCCTCCCAGCTCCATCGGGACGCTCCCATGGAGCCCGTTTTGCGACAAGCTGAGAACCTCGAGCTTGGCCAAGCTTCCCAGCTGCTTGGGGATGGTGCCCGTGAGGCCCGAGTTCCCGCGGAGAGTGAGGACCTGGAGCGACGAGGCAAGCTTGTCGAGGCCCGACCAAGGAATGTTGGTGCTGTTGGTGCTGGGGGATACAAAGCAGCTCATGATGACGAGTGCCCTGAGGAAGGGGAGCTTAAAGATTGCCGGGGACAAGGAGGCATTCTTCTTGCAAGCGGTGGCCGGGTTGGAGCCGACAAGCGTGATCTTGGTGACGTGAAGAAGGTAGTCATCGCTGCTGCTGCCGCTGGATCCTCCCAGCTGCTGGCACTCGAGGCCCGGCCATGGATGGTAGCTGCTACAGGGGTGGGGATGCTTGGCTCGCCACTGGGAGGACTCATTGAGCAGGGATTCCATGACCTGGTAGAGCGCCTCTTGCTCGTTTCGATCCATGATGTGCTCCGGCTGCTCGTAATCAACGCGGGCTCTTCGCAGCTGCGATTCTCCTGCTGCCCAGGAAGCCAAGAGCAAACATTGGGTAAGAATCGCCCCGAGGAGCAGTGAAGAGGGGGAGGACATTCTTCTCGTCTGATGTTATAAATCAAGGGGCAAGCATGCGAGCTTTCGATTGAAAGGTGTTGCGGTGGAGTGTGGAAGAAAACATTGAGGTTTGGAAGGGAAGAATTTTTGTTTTGGGGGGAATACCACTTGACAAAGACGCCAGGCACATGAATACGGTAAAAGCTGACGCCCAGCTCACTAACTGGCCGCTCTCATGCAGTGTTTATTCATTTTTTTGCTCCACGGCCATACCAGTTGAGATCCGACGGCACATGGTGCTTGCGCGACAGTTTGCGGACGGTCAGATTTACGGTGCCTGTAACATTGTTGGCAAGCTAGAATAGAGTAAATGAATATTTTCAGAACAAAGGTTTCTTCTGATATACTATCCTTTGGACAGCAAGAAATTTCAAAATTATTGGCAGTGACAACATTGCACGAAATAAGAACTATTCTAATAAAAATAAAAATAATATTGTAATATTAATGAAAATAATATTGTAGACAAAAGAAATATTATTCTAGTTTATTCTTTTACTAAAGAGGAAGGCTTTTACTTCATGGCAAGCGATGGCAAGCGAAGGTGTCCTTTCTCTACAGACCTCTTAAAGTCCCAGTGGATGTTTTCATCAAGAGTTTTGAAACTCCAGAATCCACATCCAAACGATGCGTCTTTGTATACTGTAAGCTGTGCAGTGCCATATCTTGTAAAGTCGTCGTCGGTTGCACCAGGGACGTCTACCTGGTTGCTCCATTCCCCTGCAAAAGTACATGAAACATATTCTTCGTCACTCGTGATCCAGTTCGATGTTGGAGAGAGCCTTACCAACAAAGATCAGAGGAGCGTTTTTTGCATTCTTCAGTCGTGCAATGTCTGATTTCCTCTCGTTGTTGATGTAATTGATGTGCCACTGGATAGTTTTGCCTTTGAACTCGTCAGTGAAATAGTTGTAGTAATGAACGTCGAGAACCACATTTGTGGAGCCAGGGTCTAGAGCGTTGACAAGCTCCATTGGATCGCTTCCAAGCCTCTGACACATGATCACGTAAGCATTAGGGCTCTTGCTTCGAACTCTTTGGTATCCTTGTTTGTAGTAACTTTTGAGGGTGTCGAGATCAACATTGGCAGCATTAGGCTCGTTCAGAAGCTCGATGCCTAATAGAGCCGGATGACTTGAGTACCTACATGTGTGAGAGGCATTTTAAGTCGAGTTTCAAAATCTAGATTGATCGATTACTTGGAGGCAAGAACATCGATGACTTCGAGCGTTTGAGCGATATTCTCTTCCTGCCTCCACGTTGAAACTCCGTCCCGACTTGCACTGTGATCCTCGGGATTCTGTGATCCAGGTGCCGCATGAAGATCAATAATAACTTTGATGTTGTGTTTGCTTCAACACCACCACATTGAGACGAAAGTTTTAGGAAATCCATCAGAAGAGAATGTTGCTCTCACCTAGCCCATGTAAATGCGTTGTCTAGAGCTTTCATGGATCCTCCAACGAACGGCTTCGGTGGATTGGGATCGTATGCAATCCACCAGCCAACGGGAATCCGGACAGCGTTGATTCCCTTGGAAGCAAGGAACTGAAAATCGCCTTCTGTGATGAAGTTGTTTCGATGTCTCTTTTGAAGAAAAACAAACAATATCGTAATATCAGAACACGAAGACTTGCTGAACAGCTCTTCTTACGTCAAAGACTTGCTGAGGAGCTCTGGAATAGGCATTGGCCAGCTGAAACTCTCCTCGAAGAGCAGTGTTGACAGTCATGATAAATACAGCAGGGTTGTTATTATCCCACCCGGGCTCGCCACTGTAATCCGCGGTCAGCTGGCTCTCATCCTTGGCCTGCAAGTTGAAATGGAAGTTGAAAACTTCACAGTGAGCATTGCATTACTTGTAAGTATCTGCCATTGAAAGTTTTGATGTGAACTAGAGATTTATTGCGAACGATTTTAAATGTTTCCCATTCCTTAGGGGTGTCTTTGGTCGAATCGACTGTACTTCCGCCTCCATTGAGAGCCGACACGAACATATTGTTGGATACACGGAGATAGAATCTGTTGCTGCTTACTCGCCATAGCTAGAACATATTTTGTTTCAAAAAATGAATTTTTGGAAGAGGAAAAACCTTGAATGTCTCCCAGCTGGATGGGTTTTGCCTGTTGACAACCATCTTGCCTCCACCGCTATTCTCGGCAGACACATACTTCCCCAGTTTCAAAGATTTGAGCAGGATTTGGGTCCCATCCTGCAGCCAAGAAACAAATTTTGATTATCAGATGTGTCCTATGTTAGCTAGAAGTAAACCAAGAGATCATTGTTATTTGGAATTTTATCAAACAAGGACATTGTCATCCATCCTTCGATCACCAGCCATCCCCCAAGGTTGACGGCGCGAATGTTGGGAGGCGACGCCGCCGCGAGGCCCTGCTGCACTGTTGCCACCACAAGAATTGATAGAAGCATGCAAGACAATGCAGCAGGCTCCATTGTGTTCTAGCTACTTACAAAGTGTTACGACATCTTTATAGATCGAGGCCAGGGCTTGATCGCACACGGCACGGCATTCAGCTGACTCATTTGATGGTGCGAATCTGCTTGCCAGTGCATCCGTGATCATCTGTCTTGACTTTGAACATGGGGCATATTCTTTTTGTTAAATGGGTTCGAATCCTGCTGCTGCGTCTGCACGGGATTATATCGGCCCTTTGGATCCAAGTTAGGAAATCCAACTCCTAGCCACCTTGAGACTCTGTCGTGCCTACAAACATAGAATATTTCCAGGCCAGCTCTTCTTCCACTCGTGATCCATTAGAAAAATTCTTGCATTCTTCAGTTGAACGATAGAACACTTTGCAGCTTTATGGTCAACTCAGTCAGAGGGTCTTTCCTGCCGCTAGTATGTCACTGCGTGCTCTACTTTCCTGGGTCTCCCGAGTCAAAAGAATCGACGGTCAAGCCAGTCAAAATCATATTTGACTGGAGCTTTCATCCATGCGCGAAAGTATGAAGCCATTATCCACCAAGGAGCGTTTATCTTAAAACCATTTCAAAGTTCCACTTATAACAAAGCAATTTACAAACGGTCAGCCAAATCGAGTCCGAGTTAAAAAAGTGTTTTACACCTCAGCCGCGCTCATATCACCATTGCAGAGTCTCGTCGTTGCAACAGAGGATTGTCTCAGCGCAAGCAACGCCGCTCCAACAGCTGGCTCCACCTGTGGAACGGAATGGATCAAATCAACAACCCATAAGGAAACGCGAAAGGTTATCACCTGGGGCCGAATAGCTTCAACGCCGGGAAAGGAAGCACCTACGCAACGAACGATCGCAGAGACGAGGTCGAACGAGTCATTCTTTTCCAAAACGCCACCGACCAAAACCAGCGGAAACGGTTGCTTTCCATCTGTAAGCCAGCTTAGAAATGCCTCGCATAACCGAGAGTGCTTACCTTCACCGGCGAGATCGAGTCTAGTGACAACAGAGTTGACGCTCAAAGACAGCTCTTGTACAGCAAAATTGAGAGCCTCCTGAGCAGCAAAGTCTCCTGCCGCAGCACAAGCCTTGACAACCGGGACAAGAGCTGCTACACGAGCCCACGAGGAATCTGTATAGGCCCAGCTGCCAGCAACAATGTCAACCAAAGTTTGGCACAATGAAGAACGATACCTGATTAAGTCGTCAACATGCTTGAGGTGGAGATGCTTTAGAATCGCTTCAGACAGCGCTGTAGGAGGACCGCGTCCATCGTGAGCACGAGTTACTGATGCCAAAGCTTGCGATGCTATGGCAAAGCCACTGCCAAGAAAGCACACGAGTAAGTGGTGGCGAAGAAAACAAAAGAGAAAACTATCAAAGAAAACGTGGAAGAGACTCGGACCTGCCTTGGTCTCCGAGGAGAGGACCATAGCCCGAGCAGCGAGTTTTGCGTCCATCACTCGTGAATCCATACGCAATTGTTCCGGTTCCAACGACGAGCACACAGCCATGGAGCTTTCCGAGAGTTCCACTCGCCAAGGCTGCAACAGCGTCGTTGTAAGCAAAAATGTGAGACGTGCGCGGAAAAAGTTGCCTGGTAGAACAAACAACAAAGAAAAAAACCAGTGAAAAACTTAGCAAAGCGTGAAAGGATTGAATCTCAGCACGCAGAATACCAGTGAAATGGTGCGCTGCATCATCTCACGCTTATCAGTCAGCATATGAAATTTACTACTTCACACCTCAGCCAGGACAGCATTCGCTCCTCATCGTCTCGAGTGTCCACTCCCGAGATCCCCACGCACACCGCCTGGACCGACGAGCGAGGAACTCCCGCGTTCTTGAGAGCTCCCGCAAGCGCCAGTTCTAGAGCCGCATTTGCAAGCTCATCTACAAAGAAAGAAGTAGAGAAGCGTCCAGTCCATGAAAAAAATAAGGAAAAACTCACGAAAACTCACAAGAACATACCTCCAACACTGTTGCGATTGGAGCAGCCAGCCACAGCTCGTCCAATAACCTTTGGGGACTCTTTGCTGGAGTTAGCGTTTACACACACACACAGCGTGGAAGTGGATCCTCCATCCACGCCCAGGACAACCCTAGGCGCGCGGCCATCCGCCAGATTCTCGAAATCCCACAGCTCCATGCTGCCCATGGCTCGATCTGTGCCCAGCGCGCGCTACCTGCGTCTCCAAATTAGGCTCCGCCAGGGACAAAGCCGGGCCATCTAAATTTGCCGCCCCTACAGCAGCGCGATCGATCCAACACGGTGATGCGATGGCGATGGAGATCTGGACAAGAATGCCCCCTGTTGCTGGAATGGGCGGCACTACCCGGCTCGCGCCTTGACTAAAGAACCCTTGCCCACACGCCTTGTTTGAAAACATAGATCCCAAGAACATTCTTTAGGGTTTATCATGGAGAATATTCCTTCACAGAGAATATGCTTTAAAAGAATATTCTCCCGGCAAGGAGAATATACTTTGATCGTCACTGCTCCCATTTCTCAAGCGGGGGCGAGGAAGCGAATCTCCAGGTGAGCGACATGTCCTTTTTTCTTTCGCCGGAGATGCTCACGATGGGAACCGCGTCTTCGATCGCGCGCAGCTCTTGCTCGGACAGCTCCACCGCCAGAGCTCCGGCGTTCTCTTGCAAGTTTTTGAGCTTGGTGGTGCCGGGGATTGGAACCACGTCGCGTCCCTGGTGCTGGAGCCACGCCAGGGCGAGTTGTCCCGGCGAGCAGTTCTTGCTCGTGGACATCTCCAGCAGCTTGTTGTAAAAGGCCGCGTTCTTCTCGATGTGCTCGGGCATGAGCCGGGGGTCATTGCCAACCTGATCATCATGGAAAACACCACGAGAAGAATGCTCGTGCGGGAAACCAGCCTACCTTCCGGAAGTCGTTTGCTGGCAGGTCTTCCATGATCTTCTTGCCGATGGAGAAGAATCCCCGGCCGAGGGGGCTGTAAGGAACGATCCCAATGCCGAGTTCCCTGGAGAAAAAACAGTTTTTTCTCGTCTTGGTATTGAGTGTTGCATTACCTGCATGTTGGGATGACATCTTCTTCCACATCTCGAGTCCACAGCGACCATTCCAGTTGAACAGCAGTCACGGGATGGACTGCATGAGCTCGCCGGATGTCCGAAGCCGATGCTTCCGACAGGCCAATGTACTTGACTTTGCCTTCCTCGACGAGTTTCTTCATCTCCCCAACCTTGAAGAAGAGCGAACACTTCAACTGATAAACATCTCGGAAAATCATGCCACCATACCGTGATTTCGATGGGAACTCTGGTGTCCACTCTGTGCTGGTAGTAAAGGTCGATGTAGTCCACACCGAGTCGCTCGAGGCTGCCAAGGCATGACTCGCGAACGTAAGCGGGATCACCTCGGATTCCCTGGCTCGTGATGCCAAACTTGGTCGCGACTTGGACACTTTCTCTTCTCAAGCTGCTAATCGCCTGCAACGCGAAAGAAAGCGCAAAGACGAGAGTAAAGTGGCAAAAACAAAGCACTGACGTACCTTTCCGACGAGGATCTCGTTTGTGTGAGGACCATAAACATCAGCAGTGTCGAGAAAAGTGATCCCCAAATCGTTGACAGCCTTGTGGATGAGATCTATCATCTCCGATTCGGGCTTGCGAGTGCCGTAGAACGCAGACATTCCCATGCAACCAAGACCCTGCTGTGAAACCTCTAGCCCCTGGCTACCAAGCTTCACTCTCGGAGCTCCCATTTTCTTCTCTCTCAAAACCCTTCCCAAACTACTGTAGCAACACTTTAGCTTAAGATGATACTCAGCCTATATTACCACGTCAAAAACAGACAAGTAGTCATGGTACGACTGCTCGTCGACTCTCTCTGCGACAAAAGAAAGAGTTGAAACTGCGTGGCGAGAGCGTTACCGCATTTAGATGAAGGCTCTCATCATGATCTCACGCGATTCATCCCGGAGGTGTTCCTTTTCAGCTTCGGCAGCTTCCACTAGATCCTTCTGTCCAATTCTAGACGCATCACCAGAGCGTAACGCAGCCTGAAAGCAGCCAAGAAAGTTTCTCAGCAAGGTGGACAAAGGGAGAAAAATACAACCTTCGCGGCCGCTCTAACTGTAGCACTGCTTATAGCTCCGCTGGTAAAGTTGAATCGCTTGCTCAGCTCGTCAAAATCTATGTCAGCGGCCAGAGGTGCCTGCAGTGGAATCAACTTAAGGTCAAAGTGCTTGAAAAAACACTATGGGATTTACCTTTGCAGGTAGCATCTTCTTCCACATTGCGGCACGGATAGACTGATCGGGCATTTTAAACTCCACGACAAACCTGAGCCTTCGAACAAGCTCGGGATCAAGTCTGACAATGGCGCTTCCCTATAACACGCAAAACACTTGTGTAACAAAGAGAAAGAAATGAATGTTGTGCGCACCTTGGAAACGTTAGCGATAAGGAGACATATTCCAGGAAATCGTTCTAGCTCGTGCAATAGCAATCCTATTGCTACATGGGACCAAGCAGAAATGCTAGTTAGACCGTTGCCAATGCCTTCCTCTTCACTTCCCATAATCTGTTCCATGGAAGTTAAAGTAGAGTGGATAAGTTGGAATGGCAGACCTGAAAATCTTCAAGCACGAGAACCGCGTCCATCAACCTTGCATCCTTGAAGACACTGGTGATATTGGCGCTAGTTTTGGCACTGCTCTCACGCGAAATCAACTGGGAACAATTGATAACCTGCAAACCAAAGCTCAATATCAGTATCTCAAGGAAAGACATGTGCTAACCTTCAAAGGGCGTCCTAACTCAAATCCTATTGCCTGCAACAAACGCAAAACAGAGCTCAACGAAATCAACAACCACGGTTCATATACCTCTGCAACAGCAGATTTCCCGGTGCCGTGGGAACCGTAAAACAAACATGCAGTTCCTAAGCGCTCTTGTTGAAATCCCCATTGTCCTTGTAAAATCGCTCTCGCTTTTTCAAACTTAAGAATTCCTTCGATCCTTTCTCGCATCGCTGTACAAAGAACAAGGTCGTCTACTCCGGCTTTTGGGACAACCCTGTGTGTGAACGACTTCATCTGTGGATTCAGGCATTAGTGCACTAACACAAACTAAAACACAAAGCTACCTGCAAGCTGCCACGCATCTGCAAGCGGCAGCCTTCGACGATATCTTCCTCGGAAACTATAGGATTCGCACTATCTCTTGAAATGGCAATAAGCAAAGAACTAACAACTGCATTTTTAATATAGCCTCCGGTAAGCTCGTATCTGTAAACACACTTCGATGAGAGTTGTTTTGACAAGGTTTCGTACCTTAATGATATTCTATCCCAGTCAATGTTACTTGTCATAGGTAACCGGGAACATGATAACTTCCATATTTCCCGGCGTTGTGTGTGATCTGGCGGATGAAACTCGCTAACACAACTGTATAAAAAGGCAAAATTAGTGACCGCTGAATAACTAGCTGATATCATACGTAATTCGCCTGTGCATAGCTTCATCGAGATCTTGAGGACGATTAGTTGCAAGCATAACGATGCCCTCGTGCCTTTCCATTTCCGTCAATAGAGCATTTAGCATTTTGTCGCCTCCATGCTCTCTCTAAAATAACCAAAATATTACCAATCTTCTATAACAAGACTGTACCTGAGCAAAAATCGCTTCGCACTCATCAAAAAATATCACGGCATCGTTCATGTCGGCATCCCGAAACAAACCACGAATATCACCAGAATTGTCTTCACGACCGGATAAGTGGAGCGCACGGAAGTCCACAAGGAGAACGCGTTTACCTGTAGCAGAAACAAAAATAAAAGAAAGAAGGATGTGGTCAGCTAAACAGGTGCCGGTGAGAACGTACCAAGGTGATGAGCGACTGCATTTACCGTCATAGTTTTCCCGGTCCCTGACGCACCACATAAGAGAATTACAAGTCCCGCAGCATAGCTCATAATGTCCTCGAGACCTGCCGATTTCCGAAAATCCTTAAATTTAGAGAAATTCTCGACTGTTTTTAAAAGCATATTTTTCTGTTCCTCAGGAAGAACGACTTGATCCATAGGAATCTACGCGTAACGCCAGATATAAGTACTGTACTCGGACGACAAAGTGCATAAACGTTAGATCACCTTTGGCGTATATAAATAGCTCCCATCGACAAGCTCGTTCATTTCAGTGTCGAGACCAACAATCCAGTCAAGCATTCTGCGGTCAAGCTCAACTTGCTGATCCATCAAATCACACCTTGCTCTGTTGTACACTGCATTTCTCAGTTTGATCAGGCCTCTTGACACAAGCCTGCTGGACTTATAGAAATATGTCCTTGCTAGAACCTGTCGAAAACAGTTAGTCACTAACCTAGCTGGAAATAACATGACTTACCTGTTCTTTGAACGAATTGAAATAGACAGTAAGGATGTCTTGCACCTGCAAACCAGACAACCCACGCTGGTGGATGCAATAAAAACAAGAAAAGAAAAATAGACTAACTTGAACGTAGTCGCTGCTGCGCCGAAAGCCAGTGTCACCGTTGTCTCCTTCGAAAATGCTTTTAACAACAGGCGAGATGGACACAGCTGCAGTGTAAGACGATTATTGAGAAAGTTCCTAGTGCAAATCATAGTACCTGTAAGCATTAAAACGACCCCCTTTTCAAACTCGTCCAGTCCAAGCTTGAGAGCTAAAGCCTGGTAGAAAAGTTCAGTTATCAGCAGAAAGAGCATCGACAGAACAACACCTCGAGTCGTGGCAATTGTCCTTTGTCTTGCTTGACAGCTTCTTCAGTAAGTCTCATTCTTTCTTGCAGCCGATTCTTGGCAAATCTAAGCTTCGCCTGTAGCTCACGGATGCTTGCAGCCTGCTGGATACAGTGTAAGAACGAAATGTTTGGCAAAGACAGGAGAGTATTACCTTTGTAGACCTATAAGAATCATACCAAGAGCGTTCATCATTGAAAGCTTCCTTCATATCTTCCTTGTGTCTAGCCTTTGCGACCCTCAGCATCAAAGCTAGCATTTGAAATGCGTCATCCAGGTATTCAAGACTCGAGGCATAAGCTTGAAGATCTCCCTTGGATGCCTTCTCGACGGTTGTCTGAGCATCACTGGTCTCTACCGCGGGAATCATCTCGCTTTCTTGCTCAGCAGGTAGCGAGACTTTCTTGGACGATTTTACTGGCTCGGTACCAGCCAACAGTTCGTCAACTTGCTGGCCGGAAAGGCCAGTTATACTCTCAATATCTTCAAACTTCCGTTTTTTGTTTGCTCCTTGGCCTGACACAGCTGAAACGGCCACCTCATTTTCAGGATCTTCTGCAGCTACAAGGGCATCCCCCTTGCCTTCGAGCTGTAAAACAAGCAACTCATTTTCAATAGGACGAATGTAAGCAAACTTACGTGACTACTGTCGACGACGTTCAAGACCTCCGTCTTGCTCAGCTTTAGCCACTGCTCAGTTTTTATTGGCCGTAAAAGCAGCACAGAGACAGCTTCCTTCACCATACGGAAAGTCTTTCCATCGTAATCGTCCTGAGAAATGTAGAGGAAAGGTATACACCATCAAGCTTGAAGAACAACTTAAGTGAGAACCTGTCCCATTATGATGCCTTCAACCATATGAGTGCGTTTGTCGTCAAGAAATTCTTCTAGTTCCATCAAGCTCATACCACAGAGATCCATCGCCATTTCCTTGTCTTCCTGTCTCCCTCCTACAAAAACATCCATAAGCATGCCCACAAGGAACTTTAGAGATCACCTAGAGCGGCACGAACAGCAGGAGCTTTGGATGCACCCCGGACGAAGAGAAGCTGAAACAAACACGTCTCGGCGGGTGACAGTCCATATCTCTGTGCTAGCTTCAAAACGAGGGGATGCTTGTTTGGATCCTTGGGAAGTCGTTCCCTCTCTCTGGTTGCGAGTTCTTGCAGCAGCTTCTCAACCAACGAAAGAGCTTCTCTCCTGCAAAGTCTCTCCAACTTAGCCGCGTGTAAAGAAGTTTAAAGGAGAAAAAACTCACACTGCTATGGACGATGAGGGCGCTGGAACCGCCGCATCCGATCCGATTGCCCCAACGCACCGGCCAAGAGATCGCAGCAGCTCCATGCGCAGCGCCAGGCAAACGAAGTTGAGCTCCAGATGCGCCAGCCATTCCGATTCTGTGAAAGAATTCTCGACGCGCGGCTGCCCCGACGGGACGACGCCCAGGAAATCGGCAGGAATCTGGGCGTGGAAATCCCTCAGCAGGTAGAGAATGCTGTCGCGCACCGTCGCCGATTCATCCGCCATGGCAAGAACCAAAAAACAATGGCAAGCCCTAAGTTGTTTTTAAACCCTTTTAACTTTGACCACAGAGTGATTCTAGACAATGCTTTTATCAAATGGGAGTTGGGGATGTAGCTCAGATGGTAGAGCGCTCGCTTAGCATGCGAGAGGCGCCGGGATCGATACCCGGCATCTCCATTCTACTTTTGTCTTTAATTATATTTCTATTTCCTTAACATTTTACTATTTTTGTCACGCTTGCCCTAATCCTATCTTCCAAGTGGCCAACCTTAATTTATGGTGTAGAGGTAGCTAGGGTTTAGCTGGCTGGAGAATTAAGATCTTTGGAATCGAGCACTCTAGAATGGGGATTGCGAAGGTTTGAGTAGGAATTTGGCGATGGAGAGTGAGCGAGCGTCGCCCCCCGAGGCCAGGTTCTATCTCGATTTTGATGCCGACGAGGAGGACGAGCAGCAGCAGCAACGCAAAGTAAGCAGTGGCGATGGAATCCATCACAAAATCGAAGAAGAAGATGGCGAGGACGAGGAGGAAGAGGAGGAAGACGATGCTTTGGCTACTCCTAGATGGCCGCAGAGCTACAGGTGAGTGAAAAGGATTTGGAAGAGAGATCTTTGCTGAGGCCTTTTGTTCTTCCTTGCCAGGAAATCGATGGATATCTACAGTCATATGCCCTCTCCAAGCTTGAATTTCCTCACGAGTCCAAATGTGTCTCGCAGTTCGCTGCTATCAACCTCGCTGGGAAAGCACTACGAGAGCGCAACATCCATTCTGGATCCGCTCTTGACAGACCAGGAATTTGACAAGGATGAAAAACGACTGACTCCATCGATGCCACCGCCACCACCCCCGCAATCTCACATTGTCACCGTATCCTCCGAGACGAGGCTCAGAAAGACTTCCTCGACCAGGATTTCTCCTTCCAGCGATGCACAAGACTACCATCACCTCCAGCTTCCAAAGCAAGGTTGCACCTTCTTCCAGGCAACGCTAAACGGTTTGAGCTCAAAGCTTTCCCATTGTTCTCAAAGTTCTAACTTCGATGTTTCTCAGGGATCAATGTTCTTGCTGGAGTGGGGGTTCTTTCCACTCCTTACGCTCTGAAGCAAGGAGGCTGGATTGGAGCTATCATACTGCTACTCTTCGCAGTGGTTTGCTGCTACACAGGAATCCTTTTGCGCAAATGCTTGGAGAGTGAGCCAGGCCTTGTCACATATCCTGACATTGGGCAAGCAGCATTTGGCCGGATTGGACGTCTTGTTATCTCGGTAAGTTGTCTTTGCTTTAGCTTGTCCATGTTCTCAGTTACTGTGATCCTTCTTAACAGATAATTCTCTACGTGGAACTCTACGTAAGTGTGTTAAACCTCTATAATCTTGATTGTATTAACAGATGCTATATTGTAGGCATGCTGTGTGGAGTTTTTGATTCTTGAAGGGGATAATCTTGCATCCCTTTTCCCCAATGCTCGTTTCAGTTATAATGGCCACAAGATGGAGTCACAGAAAGTGTTTAGCATGATAGCTGCGCTGTTTATACTGCCTACTGTCTGGCTTCGAGATCTCAGCTTGTTATCATACATTTCAGGTATGTTGTTTGTTCCTTTTTTCAGGTTCTGGTTTGTGACTTTTCTTTTTTAAAAGCTGGTGGAGTTGTGACATCAATTATTGTTGTCGTTTCGGTTTGGTGGGTTGGAGCAGTTGATGGGGTTGGGTTTCGGAACACTGGCTCATTTATAAATTTTGGAAACTTGCCAGTCTCTATTGGACTTATAGGATTTTGTTTCTCTGGACACGCTGTTTTTCCTAATATTTATTCGTCTATGAAAGATAGAGCTCAATTCAATCGAGTTTTACAATTGTGGTAAGTGTATTTCAACCTATTTTGCTTTATTACTTTGAAGTTCTGATAATTTGTTATTAGCTTTCTATTATGTATATTAATGTATGGAGGAGTAGCGATTATGGGTTTTAAAATGTTTGGAGCAGAAACTCAGTCTCAAGTGACATTAAATCTTCCAAAGCAGTTTGTTGCATCTAAAATTGCATTGTGGACAACGGTAAGTAATTTAATTGTGTTTTTAGTGCTATAAGTCTTTAAATTTTATTTTCAGGTTATTACACCTCTTACAAAATATGCATTAACAATCACCCCTGTCGCCTTGAGTTTGGAAGAACTTCTGCCAACTCAAGTTTCAAAAAATCATTTTGCATCAGTTCTTATACGAACTAGTTTGGTAACATCAACTTTATTTGTGGCGCTTATGATACCATTCTTTGGTAAGTATTCGATAAAGATTTGAAGTATTTCAGATTTATAAGTTTTATTGATTCTTCAGGATTTGTCATGGCTTTTATTGGATCTTTTCTAAGTCTTACTGGAGTATGTATAATCAATGTATTATGATCTTTTGAAGTATTTTAACAAATTTCATCGTTTTTGTAGTCATTAATTTTACCCTCAGCATGTTATCTCAGCATAAGTGGCAGAAGGATTCCAAAAACACAGGTAAGAGTCTGAGCAAAACCTTGGAGCTAGCTAAAACATGATTATTTTGCAGGCTATTATTTGTGTCATGACCATATTCATAGGAGTGATTGCAGCAATTGCTGGAACATACTCGTCTGTAACAGGGATTATAACCCAATACAGAAGCAGCTAGCCAGAACATATTTATTTTCGTATCGAAAACCTCACAACAAAACTTTTCCAAAGTCAGCAGATGAAGGGAATAAAGGCAAAAGAAAGATTTACAGTTTCCACGATGGATGTATCGATCGATCAGAGCTTAGTTCATTCACAGCCAAAAGGCCGCAAGAACAGCAGCAAGGAGAAGCGAAACAACCAACCTCGGCACCGCACGAAGACGATATCCATGACTGATTGGAATCGCGTCTGGGAGCGCACACTCCTCGCCATTGAACACCACCCTGGTTGGAAATCCATCGCCGCCAGTGACGTTGATCCCGGGCGTCTTCCTCTTGTCGAACGAGATCACTGCCTGGAGCTTCCCCGGATTGTTCTTGTCGATCCGGTTGAGATAGTCGCTATAGTTTGGCAGCCCCTGGAAGTACAAGGTGGTGTTGTCGTTGATCAAAGTCCCATTGAGAGTGTAGACCCGCTCGAGCCCCGGGAACGCGTTCCTGAGCTCCACCGCGGCAAACCACTCGGGAACGGCCGTCTCGTCCCAGTTGAGCAGCGAGAGCCGGGCAGTCCATCCGTCGGTGAAGTCCGACACGACGTGCCAGTTGATGCTCACGGGGCAATTGTCCGAGCACGGAGCCACGCTTGGAACCGGCTTCCTGTTCATCCTCGCCCACTCGAGCGCCTTTCCAATCCGGTCCTGGAACGGGAGCAGCAGCGCGTACGAAGGCAAGAGCATCGCCTGCGAGCTTGTGTCACAGGAAGGCCGAGGAAGGGTGGAGTTGGCGGAGCAGCCACAGGCGCAAGTCGGGCATGGAACCGCGGACGAGTTGTAGAAACCCGAGAAGGAAACGCAGCACTTTCGCCTCGTCTCCAAGTTCTCGACTTGGCCGACTTGCTCCAGCCTGCCATTCCGGGTCATGTTGCACGTAACTTGCCAGCTCTTGATCGCCGAGATCATCCTCGTCGGGCTGCTGGGATCCCGCTTCTCCACGGGAGCGATCAGCTGGGGCTGCCCGCAAGAGTACCTGGGATCGATCTTAAAGTTGGCCGGGGGAGCGAGAGTGTCGCGGTCGAGGTTTGGAGGGACCTTGTAGACGAAGAGCTGGAAGGCCGACTTGGAGAGCTTTGGATCCATGGTGGCCGGGAGGAGCAGTCCACTCCGGCAGCACGATGGGATCATCCCAACTCTGGTGTCGTTGGCTCGCTCGGGAGGAAGATCCACGATGGTCGGGTGGCGATTGCAGCTCATCACCGTGGAGAAGTCGAAATCTTTGTAGTGAGCGCCCGCCGGGCCCGAGAGGCACTCGGTTTGATCCTGGTCGAGCGTCTGCGCGCCTCGCATCTGGAAGATGAACTCGCCTTGTTGCCACTCCCATGTCAGGTTCCAGCCATCGATCCGGCCCAGGGGATTGTCGTTGGAGATGTCTACCTCGGCCCAGTAGTTGTCCGTGAAGGTCTGGATCACGCTGTAGGTGATGGTGAGGTCGCCCGGTTCCGGCAGCGCGAACTGATCCGTGCTGGTGCTGTTGATCGCCGTCGCATTCTCCGTGCAGCACAGCTGAAGCGTATCATCTGGAAGAAGGAAACGAGAAAGAAATGTTAGAGATCTTCGCGAGGAAGAAGGGGGAAAAGAGAAACAAATGTTAGGGTTCTTCGCGAGGAAGAAGGGGGAAAAGAAAAGAAATTTTAGGGCTCTTCGCGAGGGAAGAAGGGGGAAAAGAAAAGAAATTTTAGGGCTCTTCGCGAGGGAAGAAGGGGGAAAAGAAAGAGACACTTACTTCCGAGCTTCTGGACGGATCCACAGGTGTAGCCGGGCACTGGGAAGCTGAGATTGGCGGGCAGTGGAAAATTCTCGACGCCATACTCGGTGCCGACCAGATTGATCGTCACCGAGGTCTTGGTGGTGTCACCGGCGGTCTCGACCGCGTTAAGGAGATCGGTCTGGGGGAATCCCGCGAGCGTGGCGCCGGCAGGGGCCACAGTGACTGGCAGATTCTCGCCGTCGGCCAGCAGCGCCCCGGGCGCCTGGACGAGCATCTCGCGGTGCTGGAATCCCACGAACGCGCGCCAGTTCTTCACCTCGCTGAAGCCCAGATTGCTCAGCTGGAGCGCCGACTCGAATCGATAGGGCTGCTGCGCGGCATCGGTGAGAAAGGGGCTGATCTTGGCGACGCGCCGGATGGAGTAGTGGAGAAGCACGCCACGGCATGTGGAATTGGAGGCGTCCTCGAACGCTGGCTGCTGCGCCGCTGCCCAAGAGGCCCAAATCGCCACGAGGAAGAAGATGGAGGCGATCCACCGCAATCTCTCATCACGATTCTTCGCCATAGCTCATCTATCTATCTAGAATCTCTCGCTCGCTCAAACTCTCGCGCTGTGTCGACCGATCGATCGATCGATTGAGAAGCCCTACAGCGCTGCCGCTGCCCGGATTTGGGCTACCAATCCTCGAGCCCTGCGACCCATTCCTCCATTTAGACGCGATCTAGTCCCTCCGCGTTGCTCGTTCCTCCGCGTTTGCTAGCTAGGATTATAAGCGCGTGTTTGCCAAAATCACTATAGCTAAAATGCAGCGTCCTTTTCCCCTGTTTGCGAGACAATGCCGGCAATCACGATTTCTTCCATCGTTCCAGGTCTTCTAGCCTGCGGCCCACAACGAAGAAAAAAAAGAAAAATCTAAAACCACGATCGCCGAAGACCCTGTCAAGCGCCAAACCAGATTTTAAGACCCCATCTCGCGACCAACAAACTCATCTATCAAACTTTAAACGTTGAGGAGAGGAGCGAGCGATTCACCGGACAAACAAGGAAGGAACGAGACGTTGGAGGCAAAGCAAAAACGAAAATAAAAAAGAAGAATATCCTTCCTCTGGAGAGGAAGCATATTCTTCCTCGCGCGCCAGACAGGGATCGAACCTGTGACTTTCTGCTCCGGAAACAGACGCTCTATCCACTGAGCTACAAGCGCGAGACGTGGTGTGGATCCACGTCGGGGAGACTCCAACCCTAGGGCGATCCAACGGCTCTGGGCAAGGACACACAAGACAAGCACGTCGGGTCATATTCCTCTCTGGCGTGGCCAACGCTATCATTCTTTTTCCTGGCGGGAAAAGGAGTCACAGACAAGATCACTCAAACTCACTTGTGCACACTGCCACACGCATGATTCCTTCACGCGCTAGCTAGCGCCACCATCTTTGTCACGTTTGATCGATTTGATCGATCGATAGATAATCGCCCATTTCTTTGTTTTCCTTAACCATGGAACCATGTAGCTCCAGTTTCCTTTTGGAAACCATGAGACCCTCGACTTTGATCCTCCCAAACATGTGCTGTCCCACATTTGCCTTTGAGCGGTCGCTTTTCCAGAAACTCGTTAAAAACCAGCGATCACGCCTTTGAAAATCTCGGTCCGCGGTGGCGAGAGTGATTGAAGTGGAGTCTTATTTACAGGAAGAAAAGAGACCCGACCCGAGTCGTCAAAACGAAGACCAAGAGCGAAAGGTGGAAAAATAAAGAAGCACAAACACAAAGGGCGATCCGATCCAATCCCATCGAGCAAGAGTTGGATCGTTCACCACACCGAGAGGAGGAAGAGGACGAAGAAGAAGGCGCGGTGGAAGAAGAGCGTTAATGGCGAATGCGCTAGCAGCGCTGCCGAATCCTCTGGTCCCAGACTGTCACTCGCCAGTGGCAACTGCGCTTGATCACTGCGGCAAGCGCCAGGGCTGGCGGCCGCTGGAACTTCGCCATCGCCAGCGCTAGCATCTTGATCATCCGAATCCGTGCTGTAGAGCAGCGCTCGCAGCACCGCCGACACCGTCGGGATGAAACGCGTCCGATTGTCCGACAGCAGCCACATCAATCCCATGAGCCGGCAATCCAATGTCGATGGCGTCGCGCCGCTGCTGCCAGCTTTTGGATTGGCGGCGACCTTCTGCCCGATCCAAACCACGGACTGTGCGTGATCATCACGATCCATCCACAAAGAAAACGCGAGAGAACACGATGAATGGAATGGAGCCTATAGAACTCGAAAGAAGGACTTACATTGTCGAGGGCGGCGATGCAAGAGGAGCACCCGTGGAGCGATGGATCGGAGCAGTTTGACTGGAGGTGGCGGAGGAAGGGCGCGTGAGATGGAAGAAGCGCGCTCCTGTTCTTGTGGAAGTAGCCCACGGGACAGTTGAGCGATGCCATTTGGCGCAGCCGGATGCCGCAGTAGCACAGGCTCATGTCGCACGACGCGTTGAGCAGCGGGAGATCGATGCCGCGGGAGTGGAAGCCCTGCTGCAAGCTCGCGGCGCACACCGCCGAATCGTCCGGCGGCACTGGCATCTCCACCTGTGGCGATGGCGAGGAAGAGCTCGAGGAGCTGGTGGCGGCGGCGGCGGCGATGGCGCGCATTGTGGTCTCGGCCTGCGCGGCGAAGAGCCACGATGCGAGAACAGGGCAGCAGCGCGAGCGGAGATCCTGGCTATGGTGCTTCTTCTCGCAAGCGCTCCTGAGCCCACCGAAGCTGATCCCCGCGAAATGGAGGTCGCAGGCCATGGCTTGCCACTCCACTGGCAGGGATGGCACTGTGCCCTCTTCGTCGCTAGAACTGCCATTGCTCCCTCCTCCGCCAGGAACCACGGGGAGCGCTGGCGGTGGCGAGTGTGGCGGCGCCGCCAGGGCTCCCGCCACCACCGCCGCCAGGATTGCCGACGCAATCCAGCAGTTTCGCATCTTCTCTCGCGCCCCCCTTCTTCTGGGCCGCATTTATGAGAGGGGGGTGCTATATAAACGTGTGGCCACGTGGCAGGAGATCCGACGGTGGGGATTGTGTAAGCGCCATCTGTGCCGTAACGGCCCATTGCCGTACATCCCGTGACTCACACTCCTTTAGTGCCGGGTTCGATTCTTCATCTCGTTTTTAGGGTTCTAGCGCGCATTCTAGGGTTCTGGCAGCCGGATAGATTGCGGCCAGGGCGCGCACGATGAGCTTCCGGTGGGGCGATGCGGAGGACGACGATTACGGCCTCGAGGATGTGGTGCCGTCTACACAGATCGTCGGGCCGGACGAGAAGGGAATCAAGATCATCACCGAGTGGCGCAAGAACGAGGACACTGGTAAGCTCAGCAAGCTAATCACGACGGTGAGGGTGAAGAAACAGGTGAAGAAGATGAATCCGGCGGTGCTACAGCGCCGGCAGCTCAGCAAATTCGGCGATGCCATCGGTCAGAACGCGTCCGACAATTTCACCGTGATCTCCATCGACGAGATCACTCTCGAGAGGCCCCGGACTGACGGCCAGACGAACAAGCAGGACGAGAACGAGTTTGCGGCACTGCAGGGGGCTCCAGGGAGCAATCCCTCGCTGGTCGTTTGCCGAGCTTGTGGGAAGAAGGGAGATCACTGGACCTCGAGATGTCCCTACAAGGATTTGCTCGGCAAAAATCTCTCCTTTGACAAGCCGGAGGACGATGTTCCAGGACTTCCATCGGCGGCCTCCGGAGCTCCCGGAAAGCCCACGTCGTATGTTCCTCCCAGCCTGCGTGGAGGGGCCAAGCGCGAGGGGGATAGCATGCGCCACGGTTCCAGAGACGATAGCAACTCGATCAGAGTGACGAATCTGTCCGAGGACACGAGAGAGCAGGACTTGCAAGAGCTCTTCCGACCTTTTGGAAACATCTCTCGCATCTACGTCGCCTTTGATCGCGAGACAGGCCTCAGCCGTGGCTTCGCTTTCATCAACTTCGTTAACAGGTTTGTGTACCCCTTTCATTCTCTGTGGTTGTTTTTGCTTTTGTGTTGATCACGAGTGTGCCTCTCAGAGACGACGCAGTTCGTGCCATCAAGAAGCTGGACGGATATGGCTACGACAATCTCATCCTGCGCGTGGAGTGGGCGACACCCAAGGACAAGTGACAAACGAACGAGCTGTGAGTTTATTCATTTATTCCATACTTTTGTAACGCTTTCGCATACGAAATGGAAAGGAATGAGTTTGTTTCGAGCTACTTGCAGCTGATCTCGATGCTCTTCCAGCCGATGGGGCCACACGCGGAGACTGAAGAGTCCAGTGACGTGTGTGGCGACCCCTTGCAATCTGGCTGGTTGTAGAGATTTGCGGTGCTCTCACGCTGCTTGTGCCACTCGAAGCCATAGCCGACTGAAGCGTCCAGATTGTTGCAGCCGCACCTAGTAACAAGGACTCGGTTTGTGCAATCTGGGGACTGGAAGGTTACGAAAGTGCTGCCTTCGGTGGAGGCAAGGATGATTGAGGCTGCCACAATGCTGACAAATAGAAGAACATTGTTAGTACTTGCCATTTTGTTTGGTAGGTGTTTGCAGTACCTATTTATTTGGAATCTTGGTTGACTTTAGTTAATAATCTTTATGCATTTTTTCATAGGTTTAACTTTTACCTTTGTCTTTTCTGTTGGATTTTTAACAATGTAACAATTATGCAACGAAAAAGGAATATTGTTCTTGTCAAAAAGCATTTTAAGATTTTGGAAGAGTAGATAAGATAAGAATGGCAGAAATTAAGAAATGTGAAAAGACTATTAATGTAAATACTTATTTTATTGATTTTATTATCTGATGTTTATGTTTCAATCATTAGTTGACATGTTTAGCATTAATTTATTTATTTAATTATACAGAAAAAATCACCACTTTCTATAGGTTAAAAATGACCTTTATAAATTTTTAGCTTTAATCCTTAGTTCCTTAGTAGAAAGCAGCTTTGTGATATTTAGTGATGTAAATTAAGTGACCTTTCATATGCTAGGGGTATTTGAGACATTAGTATGGCCCCTCTTTTATTTGTTTTATGTCTATATTACAAATGTGATAACAATTATGAAAAGTTATTTGTTTACAAGTCCTTTTAGATATTTTTTAAATTTTTTTTTACAATAATAATAGCTTTGTATTGCTAGTTCCTTTTATTAGTCCCTTTTGTTCAATTGTAGTAAATTAGGTTTAATATTTATACTTAGCCAAATAAATATAAAATTGTGTTTATTGAGCATATTTGATCTAGTTTTCTTTTGCTTTTGACTTAATAAAAACCTTTCAATGTTGAGCATTAGTCCCAATATTACTACATGATAGCTTACTATATCTATTAATCACTCTCATTATATTGGTCCTATTTTAGTGTTATTGAAACGTATCTAGATATACTAGCTACAAAATGTAGAAATTATCCCAAACATAATGGAAGTGCAAATTCATAATCTAATATCAGTCTATATTTAGTAAGTTTTTAAGCTTGTCCTAGAAACTAACTTGCTTTTATATAAGGGTGGGTTAGAGCAAATGTATAATGAAGATAGTAGGTGTGCCAAACATGCACTAGGTGTGTCTTGTCTTTGCTCTACATTTGGATTCAGTTTAAATTTAATCTTCATACCATGTTAATTGATGGTGCATATAATTATGGAAAGAGATTAAAATATATCACAATTGTAATGCATATGGTTTTCACCCTTTATCCTATAATGATTTATCATAGGATAAATATGAAATAAAACCTAAACCCTTCATGTGCCACATGCCACATATCCAAGGATAAAGGAGCACAACCCAAATTTCAAGGTTTTGAGCCATTAAATGAAGAAATAGAGCCAAACTTCTAAGTATAAAATCAAGAAACAAAAGTATTAGAATACAAAACAACTCTTGAGTGTATAGCTCAAAGAGCAAAGGTGTTGGAGTATAGAGCAACTCTCAAACATAAAACTCAATGAGCAAAAGAACAAGAACACAAAACAACTTGGAACAGTTTTAGAGCATTAAACATCCCAATGACAAAATTAATACGTAAAATAGAACTAAATGAATTTTGGTATTATTTTAACATATTAATGGCCTAACGTGAGGATATTGATACTCCACTAGTTAATATAGTATAAAATTTGGGATTAAACCCAAATTAGACACAAAATAAGGATAAGCACACAAGTTAAAGGTAAACTATGCCTCAGGTTGGCCAATTTACCCACTATCCCTACTATACATTTAGAACTCTTCACAACTTTATAAAATACTTCAGCCATCATAATATAAGCAAAATATTCACACAACTTAACTTCTTTAACACACAACTCAACATTTGAGATAAATAAATAAATAAAAATGTTCACACTCTCAAGGGAACATATAAATTTCTTTAATAATAACGGTAAAAAAAAATTCTCAATAGCACTTATAATTGTTAATATGCACTCAACTTGAAATTCTAGCCAAAGTAACATAACCTTTGAAACATAGAAATACTTAACATCAAAACTAATCACCAAAAACTTGATTTAATATAACAACATCAACAACCTTAAATGATATACTCTTTGATTGATGATAATATGGTATAGTGGAAGAAGGGAATGCAATGAAGATGAAAGGAAGAACAAATGTAAGCATAGTGATAACTAGAATTCTAGATTTTGCAAAAAGTTAAATCTAAAAGAGAATAAAAGAATAAAAACAAAAAGCACAATCTTGAACTCTAAAGCAAAACATTATTAAAAAGCTTTGCCATCTTGAGTGGGTTTAAACCCCTCCTTATGGAAGGATTAAATTAAGTCTAATGTATATATATATATATATATATATATATATGCAAATACAAAGTCTCAAATGATTATGCCTGTTGGAAGGAAGTAGAATATTTATTAATAATAAATAAAAATAATATTATAAAGGTAATAATAACATAATATATGTTTTACTTTTATTTTTAGCCCACCTCTCATTTAGCGAAAACAAATAATGTATAATCTAGTTTTGGCAGTCTTGCCCGTGCCTAACAAGAAGCATGAACCGAAATGGAACATTCTGGTATATGCCCGGGCGTTCGTACCCAATTCCAGCCAGCGCTTGCATGTGCCATGTCCAGAAATCCCTCACGTACGACAACACCCACAACTTTTCACAGCACACATTCGAGCTGTCTCTCACACTGGTGGGCCTCCGCCTCCATTCTCCCAAGCAAGCAAGCAAGCAATATACCATATACCACATACCAGCCAGCGACTCTTTTGTTTTCTTCCTTGTCGTCCTCTCCAGATCCCCAGGAGCAACCAAGAGACTCGAGTGAGCCAAACAAGATCAGCAATTCTTCCCTTTCGATCGTTTCAGCCGCGGACGACGAAGAGGAGAAATCGAAATCCAGAGGCTTTCTTGGAAGCAGAATGAAAGATGATGGTATATTCATGGAAAATCTGTACAGAGTGTTTTCTAGGCTAGTCGTGGTGTGTCTGTACTAAGTGCTCTAGCAATACCATCGTTCCTTATTTCAAAACAAAGAATCCAAAATAGAACACCCCGAAACAAGGTCGGCCGAAGAAAACCCACAGCTCCCCCCATCCCCATCCATCACTCTGCTACCGCTATTCCAAATCCACCACCCACAAGAACCAACGAGAGATAGTGTAGAACCAAAAGAGAGGAAGAGGAAGAAGCCGCCCCTGTAGTGCTATAGTATGATACAAAAGATCCCAAAATTTCTCCAGCAGACCCATCCGTTATACGAAATCAGAGAGAGAGAGAGGAAGAAGAAGAAAAGAGGAAGTAAAAAGGGGAGAAAAAAGAATGCTGCTGCCGCTCATGCTCGATCCGCGCCAATCAAAGGAAGAAACTGGCGAGCGCTGCCAGGAATCCCGCGGCCAGCACTGGAATCGCCAATGCCGTGCCGGCGCCGGCCTCTGGAGCGGGGCTGGGCGCCTGCGCCATGGCAATGTCGGCCATGGAGGCCACGGCTACCACCGCCGCCACGATCAAGAACGCGGATCTGCTCGCCATTTCGAGAGCTGGAGGAGGAGACGAGAGAAATCTCGCAAGAATGCCGATCGATCGACTGCTCTCCCTCTTCTCTCTCTCTCTCTCTCTTGTCAAAAAGCTCCAAGAACAAAGAATGGAAGATAGGGCTGGCCGCTACTCTCTCTCTCTTTCCATTGGATGGGATGGTATTTATGGGCATGATGGCCATGATGGGCATGGCTGGGCATGAGCTGGAGGGCGGTCCCAGTTGAGCCTGGACGGCACTGGTGCCAGTTCGAGCCCACGCGCTCCAGCTGGCAGACAACGTGGCCACGCCGGCACATCCCCGGCTCGATTCCCACCCGGCACGACTCCCTTCTAGAATTTTACCAAACCATCCCTCGCTTTGTTTGCGTTGAAATTTTGTCAAGCACACGCACATTTAATATACAGTCGCGATGGACGTCGATAGCCCATCGTCTAGCGCTAGCGATTTGCTTGCGTCGCTACCACGCATTTCTACCACCTTTTCTCTTTTTGTGGAACTTCTATGCCGTCTCTGCGCAGTCAAAAAATTTCCCCCTTACTTGACTTGACCCTATGCGTATAGTGTACTTTGTTCTTCTGTCCCGCTTTGAATCCCAAGCTCCACGGCGGAGTTTTTCTCGTCGATTTCTCCTTCCTCGTCGGCCTCCGGCATTTGGTACGCGTCTACTTGCAGCGCCAATGCGAAATCTGGTAGCTCCACGATCCTGTCTCTGGAAATGGCAGTAGAAAGAAGCCGAGAATTTAGAAACTTGGCGGGCGAGCAAGAGCAAGAATCTAAAGCCCTGTGTGTTTGGAGCAAACCAAACACCACCTACACCAAAGCACGAGAACTTACTTGTTGTCTTCCAAGAAGTCCTGTTGTGTTGATGTTACTGCGTCCTTGGAAATTTTCTCCGAGAGGTGCTTCATTGGACCCCATGATGGCGATTTGCCAACCAGTGTCCTGCTGCACACACGGCGCCCCTTGGAGTTTAGTTTCATTCCCATTAGATCAAGGAAAGAGAAAAGCGGAATGAGAAAATGGAAAGTCTAGCGAGGACTGGCAGAGGAATCAAGAGAGAAAGGCCAAAGCACGCAGATAAACGTAGGACCACAACCATGCACAAACCATCAAACGGTTTTGCTTGCTACGTACTTCGTTGTCATGGGCGCTGTTGCACAAAAGTCGCCACAGATTCTCTCGCTTTCCTTGAAGAAGTGTGCCGACGCCCGCAGGCAGGCTGCTGCGCCTTGGCTGTCACTGCTCTCGTTTAAGATCAGGCCGTGGAAGTAATAAGCTGCGACCTTTGATCCACGAAAGGCAAAAACTCTTGCTTAGATTGCTGGGATCAACTTTGCTTAGATTGCTTACCTTGGCCTCGGCTCGTTTCCATCTGATGAAAAGTAAATGCTTGTCACCCCATCCATTTCCCAGGTTTACAGCTTGCAAGTTCTCGTAGGCCTGCAAAAGACAATGAAGGAAAAAGTTTAGTTTTTGGAGTTGAGCGAGAGAGATCGAGCAAAGAAACAAGCCTGTTGCCAGTACTTGAGCTCCTCGCATGCTAATCGACGCTTCACTGCCATGGTTGCTTTCGGATTGTCGACTGCCAGGCCCAGTTGGATCTCAACAGTCTGAGCAAAAGCAGTCCAGAGAAAAGTAAATATCACTGCACTGCTACGACAAAAAACTAAAGGAGAAAAGAGTTTTTTTTGCTGTCTCTCACCTGTCCTAGCGCTTGGAGCTGCATTGCCTGCAGCGTGCCCTCCTTTAAGTCCACTGGCAGCTGATTCCTGCTAGTTTTTAAACAAGAAAAACAAGATCAGACAACGAACGAGCTCTGGAACACCAATTTAGCAGACTTTAAACTCACCTTACTTCACGAGGAGCTTCAGGGAGGACAGATTTAAGCGCGCATTCCAATATCTCTGCAGCTTTGAATAGAACATCCATGGCAGACTTCTTGGTTTCTGTTGGAAACGGAGAAAGAGTTAAAGGTCGCGCTCTACAACATAAAGGAACGCATTCAAGGCTCTTACCGTCCATGATCTGCCTGTGATGGCTGGCTTCCAAGTTTACAGGTTTAAACAAGAGAGCCCTGTTCGCTTCCAGTAGCGAGAGCGTCGCCAGGAGCTGTAGCACAGACAGCACTTCGTAATACGGGCTTTGCAGCGTCGTTTCCTGCAATCAACGACGTACAAAAGAGAGATTTCCCAAAAGTTAGACAAAAGACGAGGAGATGCAAACAAGCACAGTTCTTCCCCCACCTTTATCTCGTCCTCTTGGTTTGTCCAAGTGAACAGAACTTGGTCGGCCAACCGTGGCTCTAGAGGACAATCCTAAGAAGACCGAAAGCTTTTCGCGTAACTTAAGCGTACCTTTCCGGATGAGCTTGAGAAGAACTGGTAAGTAGTCGTCAATCGCCTCCTTAAGCTGTGTTATGTTCGAGACTAACACGATCACAATGGACAAACAAACAGTCAGGTTGATGATCGAGAGAATCTGCAGAGAATGCACGGGTTACCAGTTAGCGAAGACCTCTTTTTCTTGAGTTTCTTTGTAGAGACGAGCTCTTGCGCCGCGGCGGCAAGTCTCGAGTGGACGCTCATCAATCTCTCCAGCAAATTTCTCGCGGAGGCTTGGAGGAGATGATCCGAGTTTGCGAGTTCCAGTGACTTTGGGAGGCGCAAGCCGGGCGAGAAGACGCAGAGTTCCTCGGTCTGGACGGGAGCTTGCACCGAGTTGTGCTCGTCCTCGGTTTTGGTGAGCGCACAGCCCATGGTGTGTGCTTGGAACTTGGAAGCCTTTTTGGGAAAGAAAATGTAAGACACTTGCACAAGGGATAAGTTTGATCTCCACCCAGAGTCAATGATCCACAAAGTCGCACCCACAAAACGGACTCTTTTGTTATTTTCCACAAAAGAGGCAATAGAGGAAGAAGAAGAAGAAGAAGAAAAAAACACTGTTTTCGCGGGACGCGGAGAAAAATAATGTAGCTCTAAGCTAGCCGCTGGTACAAAACTTCTGGAAAACAAAGCCAAAGCAAGAATTAGCACGAGAGAGAGAGAAAGAGAGAAGAAATCCAAGCACAAGAAGGTATTCATACCTCAATGCTCGATCGAAGAAAGAAAAGCGCCGCCAGACCTAGAGTGGAATCTTCGGGAAGCTCGCGCGCTCGCGAATCGTCCCCGCGGCAGCATTAAGCTGCCAGATTCAAGAGAATCGCCCAGAGAAGGCACCGATCGCGAGAAAAGCCAAGGAAGAACTAGCGCGAGAGAGGAGAGAGAGAGAGACGAAGAGAAATGGTGGGGGTGATGCGTGCCCATATAGGTAGAGTGGCTGGGAGATTGACGGGTGGCACTGTGCTTGTGAAGCGTTGACGCGCTTGTGGCCCGTCGCAACCCAAGGATCCCGCCCGTCACGTCACGTCACCCGTGAGCACCACACAAAGACCTCGTCTATAATCAGCGCGACAAAACCTTGAAAACTCTGATCAAGTCACTCGAGCAATGGCAACACAGTCGCGGCCAATCCAAATGCCCGAGCCTCTAGTTTAATTTCTAGTTCGTTAATAAAAGATTAACTATGGCTCGTGTCTGAGTTAATTAAACTTCCAGAAGATCTAGATGTGCTGCGCTTGAGTGGTGCCACGTAACTCGCGAGGAAAAAAATCTTGAGCAGTGTTTGATACGGTCCATGTGTCCACGAAGCGTCGATGCTAGCTTGCGCGCCTCGGAAACTTGCGCCAACTTATGGATCCCCGCCACCTTGCTCGGCTATTGAAAGAATCATCTTCGATTAGGCATCAAACACTTTGCTTTTGCTTCCGTACGCACGGCCAAGCCCACAAATTCCCATCGCTTGTCGTGTACGTAACACCAAGGTCCAAGATCCAAGATCCCCGAGCTGGGATCATTCCAAATCTCTCCATTATCACTCCACTGTTTACACGACTGTTCACGAGTAAGTTGTTCTTCGTACATTTGCTAGACCTTTGACAAGGTCAGCAATAAATCTAGCAAGGTGGGCGCCCTAAGATCTAAAACAGAACATATTAACATTTATACAATTTTTGGCATATTTGCCACTTGCAAAAGGAACACGGTTTAGAACTCTCATGTCCCTGGTTGACGAGGATAAGTATGCGCTGCTACTGAGGAAATGCGGTGTGGAAAATGACCCCGTCCGGGCAAATGCAATCTTTGCCTCGATTCTCTCCAGCAGATGCCGCAGCAGCACTTACCTTCGCAATCTCGCCATTGAAATGTTCGGCAAATGCGGGAGTGTGGCCAACGCTCGCCGGGTTTTCGATGGCATTGACAACCCAAACGAGTTCTCGTGGACGATGATGATCACCGCATATGCCCGGAATGGGCATGTCGATGAAGCGCGGGATTTGCTGGAGAGGATTCCGGAGAGGAATGTGATGGCCGATACCGCGCTGCTAGTCGCATATTCCCAGGCTGGGCATTTGCAGGAGGCCAGGGATCTCTTCGATTCCATGGCATTCCGGAATAGCGTGGCGCGCGATGCGATGCTCCACGCGCTCGCATCCAACGGCCATCTGGGCGAGGCCAAGGGCCTGTTCGATTCCGGAATGCCGTGCCGGAGCATCATCTCGTGGACATCGCTGCTCCAGGGCTACTCGGAGAGCGGGCAATTCGTCCTCGCCAAGGAGCTCTTCGATGCGATGCCCGAGTGGAATGTCGTGTCCAGCACCGCGATGTTCCAGGCGCTGGCCAGGAACGGGGAGATCGACGCCGCCAGGGCTCTGTTCGATGCAATGCCGCTCAAGAACATCGTGTCTTGGAATACCCTAATCGGGTGCTACGCTCACAGCGGCCAGATCGATGACGCCATCGCGGCTTTCGAGGCGATGCCGGAGTGGGATGTGTGCTCCAGCAGTGCCGTGCTCAGCGCCTACTCCGACAGAGGTAATCTCGCCAGGGCAGAAGAAATCTTCGCCAGGATCCCGTGCTTCAACGTCGTGGCGCTCAATGCGATGATCGCAGCGTATGCCCAAAATGGGCATCTGGATTCCGCCGAGGAGCTCTTCTGGAGGATGCCTGTTTGGGATGTGATCTCTTGCAATGGGATCATCACGGCCTATGGGAGCTTTCGGCGAGTGAGGAAGATGGAGGAGGTCTTTCACGAGATGCAAGAGAGGAACATCGTCAGCTGGAATGGGATGATCGCTGGCTATGCCTTCAATGGGGAACTGGAAAAGGCAAGAGTTTTGTTTGATCTCATGCCGAGGTGGGATGTCTCGTCCTGGAACGCTCTTCTCGCGGCTTTCGCACAGCACTACGATGCTCTCGGCGCCAAGACGGTGTTTGATTCGATGCCTCTACACAGCTTGGTCTCCTGGAACGCGATGCTCACGGGATTCTCTCAAGGATTGTTCCTCAAGGAGACGATGGAGTTCTTTCACCAGATTCCAGAGCCGGATGTGGTCTCCTGGAACGCTCTGGCTGCTGCCTACGCTCACAACGGCCATGTCGGATCATCAAAGCTCATATTTGATCGAACGCCTGCGAAGAACACGGCATCCTGGAACACGATCATCTCGGTGTTTTCAAACTCGGGCAGAGGGAAGTTGGCGCTAGATCTGGAGCTGCAAATGGTGGTGGAAGGGTTCCACCCCGACGACATGACGATGATGAGTACACTGAGTGGTTTCACTCACTCTGGGGTGCTGAGAGACGCGTTGTGGTGCTTTAGCTCCATGGTTGGCGACCATGGAGTGAATCCCGCGAGGGAGCATTACGGTCTGATGATCGACATTTTGGGACGAGCAGGAGAGCTCAACGAGGCGGAAGATCTCATCGGAAGCATGCCGTTCATTCCCGGTACCGGCCAGTGGACAGCTCTGCTGAGTTCTTGCAAGCTCCAGAGTGATCGGGGCCGAGGAACGAAGTTGGTCTCTCATCTCAATCCGCAGAAGGCAGCTCCGTATGTTGTTCTAGCTGGGATCATCAACGCTGGCTAGCTGGAAGAAACGAAAACTCATCACAAACCACTCCGAGGGGAAGAACTTTCTTTACATGCTGCGCTGCCGGATCCACGTCGGTCACAGAGATGAGATTTTCTCAAAGGCTTCTCGAAGAACTGGCTCGAACCTCGAAAGCGAGATCGTAACGTTCTGCTTGTCGAGATAAATCTTCTTCATATCGCTCCACCCGGAAGACGATCCTGGATTCTCTGGAGGACTCACTATCACGGAGTGGTTCTGTCCAAAGCGTTTCAACAGGCTGCTCTCACTGGCTTCGACGATATACTCCATATACTGCATACCAGCTTTCATGGCCGGGTTTCCATAGAACGACCGAGACGGGCTCTTGGTTCCAAGTGGAACGATTTGGAGGAGAAGTGATCCCGGTCGCATAAACAGCAGGTGTGTCATTGCTGCTCCATGGACACCGAGAAGAACGTCGGCCGACTGTATGATCCCGTAAAGATTGGCCATCTCGTGGTTGAATCCGGGTTCCAGAGCCTCGACGTCAAATCCAGCTCTCTCCGCAAGCTGGACCACTTCTTCCTCGTTGGTGACAACCCGAGTTCTTCGCCGAGTGATGAAGACGAGCTTCGGCCTGGTGCGTGGAACTTTGGTCCGACTGGCCGAGGCCGAGAAGGCAGTACTGAGGATGGATTGGAAGTCTCGGATGGACTTTCCATGCGACATCTTTGCGGCATTGATGGCAAGCTCGTCGTGGATGTCCAAACCGACCACGACTTTGGGGAAGCAGTGGACGCGGTGCTGCGCGGAGTCGCTGGAAAAGTCTTGGACGGGGTACTTGGTCATCTGCTTGACAATGTTACCGTACTTCTTCATCCACCACGGCTGAAACTCGGAGACGAAGAACACAACCTCGCCCTGGAATCCGTGCGAGGTGATATAGATGGGGATGAGACCATCGTTAAAGTCGTGGTAGACACTTCCGGTGTAGCCTCCAGTCGAGAAGATCATGGCGGCTTGCGTGTGGTTGACATCACACTGGTGCTGTGGAGCGCTGGAGCTGGATCTTCTCACTTTGATCGTCACCTCGCTAATCTTCTCGAGGAGCTGCTTCTGCCACTTTCTCGGGTATGGCTTGATCTTTTGGACGAGGATCTCCTCGTCGGTGTTGCTAGGACTAAACAGTGTCACCGTGCTGCCCCTGATTCTCAGATCACCAGCGAGGCGACACACTGCTGTGCGATAGTTTGAAAGATCACAGGCAACACCATCCTCCACGGTTTTCTTCGACGTAGCACCGGACTTACCTGTGGATTCGATCCTTTCGCTCGCTCCTGCTCGATCACAAGTAAGCCAAGAATCTCTGTCAAAAGTTATAGCTCTTACTCGAGAAGGTCTGCGTTGTTCTGTATTCCCGAGGCACAGCGATGAGAAGAACCGCGAGGCTGAGGCACAGAACCGTGAGGAACAGGTTTTGGATTTGGCGCTGGCGTTGTTTGTCCCAATCTTCTTTGCTGCTCCATCTCGCCATCCTTCGGGAGATCGCGCGAGCGCTCAAAGATATACCCATCGTGAGTGAGCTACGTGGGATCACGTTGAATTTCCGAGAAAAAAAAGCTCACGATCGATTTGAGGACCCACTCGAGTTTCACGGGAGAGAGATCTTTTTCGTTCTTGGAGGCGTTCATTGATCGATCGATTGCCGCGAATGGTTTGAATTTGAATTTGAAATTTTGGTATCTTCTCCTTTTTGTCACTGACTAGGGCTTCCAATTAGGGTTCGTGAGGAAGAAGAAGAAAGAAAATGGCGGTGGATCCGAGCTTCGCCGGAGTCGGATGGGACGATCTCCGCAAGCAGGTGAGCAATGGGCGCTTGATCCGTGAGCATTCTCTCTAAGGGTTTAATGCCAGGCGCGAAGGCTGGAGAACGAGATCGATGCGAAGCTCGCGAGTTTTGGGCGGCCAGATCAGTCGGGGGAGGATTGTGAAGCGGAGATCGAGAGGCTGCTCAAGCAACTCCAGCAAATCAATTCGAGTATGCAGTCTTTGATGTCAGCGATCGGTTCTGACATTGTTTCTCATACCTTGGCACGCCATCTAAACATCTCTCACGAGTTCGTCCAGGTAAGAAAATGTATGAGAAAGAACTTTCTTTTCTCCTTTGACATAGTGAGAGCTCTCGCAGGAGTTTAAGAGGAAACGAGCTATTGCCAAAGACAATCGCGAGCACGCCGAATTGCTCCACTCTTTTCGATCGCCATCGGAGAGAAGATTGGAAGTTGATCCCCTTGTGCAAGAGAGGAGCTCCATCCAGAGATCTACTGCTCAGGTTCTTCTAAGATCTAGACAAAGTTACTTCTTTTTTCTTACAGTGACTTGGTTCTCAGATAGACTCGGTCGTGAATCAAGCACACGCAGCTCTCAGCGCGCTGTCCACGCAGCGAAGCTTGTTTGGAACGATCGGATTCAAGATCAACAACGTAGGATCCATTCTACCGTCGGTAAGAAGTTCGCAGATCGATCAGTGTGGGGATAAAAAAAAATCCTTTTTTGATGCGTGCTTTCCAGGTGAACCATGTTCTAGTTGCGATTCGAAGAAAAAAAAACCAGGACACATTGATCTTGTCAGCCGTGATTTCAGTTTGCACTTTCTTGATGTTCCTTTACTGGATTTCCAAGTGAAAGAGAAAGTAATGCCGCGTTTTTACCCTGTTCGCCCACGGCAAAGTCAACCACTGCTGCCAATGGCTCTGCGCCACGTGTCTATGATAGCCTTATAATTTTTTGCGGTTGCAAAATGGAAAGATCGCCGCGGCCGCGTGGCACGGTAACCGCAGGTTCGGGATTCTAGGTCTGGGATCCCAGTCCAGGTTCGGGGACGCCATAGCCACACAAGAGGGAAGCTTGTGTGCGCCCAGATAGCGACGCCGCGGCGGCATTGTCGATTTCCCCCCTCCGGTATGTCGCGATTCCTCTCGTGTGCGCGGCCGTCGCAAGAATCGTGTGTGGTTGCAGCGGCGGGCCGGGATTGACCAGGGTTTTGAGGTGCTCGTCGCCGTTCGGCCGCATTCGCCGTGGAAGCAAGCATGGAGGGCGATATGTGGGCAGCTCGCTTGCTCTCTAAGCGCCAGTACGCCGTTCATTCGATGCTGGGTAAGCTATAGAGCTCTCTTCTCCTCCTTTTCCACTATCGAATTTTTTCGTGGGTGTTACATTGGTTTTCTGCGCTCGCAATGCAGATCAGCACTTCACTGTGGATGATGTGGAGGGCGATGAGGAACTGAGACCGGATTTTGCTTGTCCATACTGTTTCGAGGGATTGGACTTGCTCTCTCTGTGTTCTCACCTGGAGGACGAGCATTTCTCCGAATCAAGACCTGTGGTAAGAAAATTCTCTTTTTCTTCTTCTTCTTCCTTCGTGGATTTTGATTCTTTGCGTTTCTGTGTCTATAGCTGTGTCCCGTGTGTGCTGCCAAAGTCGGGAAGGACATGATCAGCCATATCACAGTTCATCACGGAAATCTCTTCAAGATATCCTTTGAAAAAGTTGGTTTTCTTATCTTTGTTCCGGTTCCTCGTTTGTATTATCCTTGACGAGAAGCTTACTTTCAGAGGCGTCGCAAGTTTAGGAGGCCGGGAATCACGTCCCATTCCGGATTTCCCTTCAGTGGGAAGGACATGAATCAAGCACACTTGCAGGCTCTCCTGGGAGCGTGCTCTCCGGCAAGGACAGGATCTGGAATTCCGGATCTCTTCTTGTCCACGCTTGTCTGTAACATGCCCATATCCGAGATTGACGATTCTTCCAAGCTGAGCTTGGATAACTCGGATTCGGTTTCTCTTGCTACTTCCACAGCTCCAGCCGAGCTAAGGTATGTCTTTGTATACGAAAGTGATTTCTCGCAGCAGTTGCTGATCAAGTTGCGATTTTTTTGGATCTTAACAGTGCTGAATGCTCCCTCACGGCCGAAGAGAGAGAGCAGAAGCTGGAAGAGGCAAGCGTTCGATCAAAGTTCGTTCGACAGCTCTTCCTCTCCACGCTCTGGGCCGAGGCATGAAGTGAATGGGAGTTGTAGCATCCAGCAAACCGCGGCCTGGCTTTAGAGCTCGAGCTCGGGCTGCGGGAGTGATGGAGGCGACAAAGGGATGGATGGATCAACCCGTGGTTCATCGTTCTTCTACTTCCCATTCGAGTCCTCAAGGATTAATTTATGAGCCGTCCAAGATGGATAGCAAAAACAAAGATGATGTGAGAACGGAAGAACTCTTTGTATAAGTCTTATGTGGAACACCATTTGCGTTTGCTGCCGTGAAGAAAGAGATATAAAAGAATGTGTCGTGTGTGTGTCAATTGTGTGTATAAATCTATACAACAAGCAAACTTTGGGTGATCGATCATCTGAGCTCGCTGGAATCGTAAACCTCTCTCGAAGCGACCCTGGCAATCACGTTTCTCATGGCAACGTCGAAGGCGTCCTCGAATTTCTCCAGTTTGGATCCCGGCTGCGCGTAGACGATCCCGGGGAGAATCTCGTGGACAATGAAATGCCGCATCTCCTTCCTCCGTGCGAATGGAATCTTCTGGAGCTCGCCCACGATATCCACGTCGGTAACAGAATCTGCCGCGATCATAACAGAATATGCGCTACCATTTGACGGAAGATGCCATGGATACTGGTAGTAGGCCGTGAAGGGGTCGAAAAAAACCGGAATGCAGCCGGCCAGCAGCGAATCAAACACCGATCTCCGGGTCGGGCTGTCGCCAACTGGCTGGAGGCAAAAATCCGAGACTAAAAACAGACCTAGAGTCGCCTCGGGACCAAAGCAAGCCCCGGAGCCGCAGTCCAAGGTCCGGCACAGGTCCGAGCGAGCCGTACACTGCCGTATCAGCTCCCCACGGATGCTCCCGCCCTGCCCGGGCCTGGGCTGGCCAGCGAAGGCGACGAGGCTCGGCCGGACGTCGTCCCTGAGCACGCGAGCCTGCCACGTCGTGATGTCCACGTCGGAACCCGGGTGGAAGAAGGTGGGATGTGGCACGCCCACGTCATTGGGGTGCCAGGGGTGGCGCTCGATGAGAAGCTTGGTGACGTTGGCCATGTCCGCGCGCGCGAGGAGATTACTCCCCCATTTTGCGTCCGATGTCATACGCCTAAAATCCCAGGAGATTTTTCCCAGGGCTATGACATGGTCACGTCGGTCGCCCGTTTTCCACGTGGACGGCTGCTGAATCAGCCATGTCATGAGCTCGTCGCCCAACACGTCGCTCTGTGCGCTGCTCACGTTGGGCACGAAATTCCATCGCATCACGTCCAGGCCGGCGTAGTAGGGCACGTAGAACACGTCGGCGAGGGATGGATCGAGCACCCGGCAGGAGTAGTCGAGGATCCGGGCGTGGAAGATCATCTCCAGCGCGTACTGGTGTGTCTTGAACCAAGATCCGCGAGGAGTGAGGAAATCGCGAGCGGCGTCGATCGAAACTGGAAGACCCATTCCCGAATTGCGGACGAAATCACACATGCTCATCCATGGCAGCAGAGTTTCACATTGCTTGAGGAGATCCGTGTTGAATTTGGGTGGAAGATCGTAGACATAGACGTTTCTTCCCTGGCAATCCTGTGGAGACTTCTTTACCTGGCCTGATCCTGATCTTCGCAAGAATTGCATAAGTCGCTCCACCTCTTCGATCGCACGCTTCCCCTCTTGATCATCAGCTGTCAAGGAACTTATAGAAGGGGGATTAATGGAAGCGTTTCGAGCTATTGATGGATCGTTGGGCGGTTGTAGCGGCCTCTCCCCTGCTTGGCTGGAATCTTCAAGAGTGCTGTTACGATCGGCTATAGTGGACGATGAATTCCTTTGGAGCTCCTGGAAGAATTCGCCAATCTCCTTTTGTTTGTCAATCTCATCTTCGCCGCCTTCCAAATCAGCTGATGCCGTCGTAGAAGCAGAAGGAATTTCCAGCTGAAAGACGCGATCTTGATCATCTAGACTTGGCAGCCCTGTTACGCTGTCGCTGGCTACCACGATCTCGCTCTCGGATCGCTGCTTGGGCGGATCCCTGTCGAAGCTGAGCGCGCGCAATTGCCACAATGGATTTTTGACGACATTGACGCCATGACACACGAGACACTCCAAATCGAGAACAGAGGCGCTCGGGATCTGAAGAGAGGCGCTCCAGAAGATGATCGCCAAGAGTGCCAGGAAGGGTGGAAAGAGAAGCGTGCGCATCCGCCGCAAGATCACCATGCCTGCTGCGCTAGAGCCCTAATTTCAAGTTCCAGTGAAGGAGGTATATTCCTGTATTGACTTTCCTGCGAGTAACGGCACTTTCTTTTATATCCGTTAATCTAATTTCTTCCCCTGTCAGGTATAGAACACCCAACTCGCCAAGAAAAAGAACATATACGATGATGCCACGTGTCAGAGAATGCTTCGTCGGCTCGGAGCTTGCTTCGGTCAAACGGAAGCAATCCTGGCCGTCCAATCCGGTTTGGCGTGTCGTCTTCCTCCTCCGTTAAATCATCAGTGGGCTCTTCGCCGCCGCGGCCGTGCTTTTTCGTTATACTATTTGATATCTCCTTCTTCCTTCCTACCCTTTCTCTCTTTCCAACAAAATCGCGAAAATCTCTTCTTCCAGCTCCATCGCCATCGCCATGGACGCGAGCCAGCTCCCCTTGGAATCGCTCCTCGCCCGCGACGCCAGCAAGCGAAAGAGGGTAAGGATTTGGCAGCGCTCCCACGGTTTCCTCTAAACCCTAATTCATGGTCTCCTTCCTTCCCTGCGCAGGTGAACAGGAACGCCAAGCTCAAGCAGTTCAAGCTGGATGCCCGGCGCGAGCAATGGCTCTCTCAAGGTAGGCGACACAGACTTTTTCTTCCTTTCTCGCCCGCGATGGATGGATGGAGTGAATGGTTTTTCCCCCTTTTTTTTCTGTGTAGGGAAGCTTGTGGCGAGCTTGTCTCCGAATTCCGTGCTTGAGAGCCCATCGCCCAAGTTGGGCGAGGAGCAGCACCTCCACGGATCGAGCACCGGAGGCGACAGTGACGCCGAGTCGTGCGTGATCAACCACGACGATCTGTGCGACGGTGGGCCGCTCGACCTCCTCTCCTGTAATTTTAACTCGAGTGTAAGTAAATCATCCATTTCTTGCTCTAGTCAGAGGGGCGTGGTGTTGGATCCTCCCGACATGAGCAGCAAGGGAGGGAAGAGAAGATCTGGCAGGAAAGGCAAGAGCAAGAGCAAGAACAAAGCTTCCGGGGACTGTGACAAAGTTCTCGGTGGAGAGAAAGGAAAGGATGGGGGAGAGGAGGAGGAGGAGGAGGATTGGGAGGCCGCGGCCGACGCTCTCGACTCCCAGATGAATCTCAACAAGGATCCGGCCGAGAAGGAAAAGGTGGCGATGGTGGTGAACAGGCACAGGGACGACAGGATGATCCGCCACCAGGACGCCAGGAACTCTCCGCCAGCCGCCGTCGCAGCTTGGAAGGTTGAGGATACGTTCCGTCCGGCCAGCCTTCCCAGGATCATCACCCCGAGCTCGCTACCGCCGCTGCTTCCCAGGCCGACTGGAGTGGAGCGACGAGTACCGTCGCCACCGCCGCGGCCGCCAGCGGCGTGGGTGACGAACAGGCACAGGGATTTCTTCGCGAGATCGGTAGCGGCGGCGGCCGCGAGCGCGGGGCCGGCGTGCTGCCCGATTTGCACGGAGGAGCTGGACAGCACCGATTCCTCGTTCCAGCCTTGCGCGTGTGGCTTCCGGCTGTGCTTGTTTTGCCACCACCGGATCGCGTCGGATGATGGGCGATGCCCGGGGTGCCGCCAGGCGTACAAGACGGACATGGGGGCGATCCTCCGGCCATGCCCGGCAAGATCGTGAAGCTCGCGACAGATGAAATGGAGGAAGATCGAGCAAGATGGGATTTTTACCCGGTTTGTATATACTTGGAGACCTTGGTCCATATTCATATGAGCTATGGAGCTTCTTAGATTTCTTCTACGTAGTCTATCTTCTAGGTAGCTTTCTTCTACGTAGCTATGGAGATTCTTAGATTTCTTCTACGTAGTCTATCTTCTAGGTAGCTTTCTTCTACGTAGCTATGGAGCGATTCTATCTTCTAGCTTTAGCTATGGAAATCGAACGTAAGAGATCTTATTCTTGTTCTTGGGAGGAAGAAGAATCACGAGACAAAATTTCGTTTTGGTGGTGGTGGCGATGGTCCCGGTGGCCTATCCCAGAGAAAGCCAAGCCCATGCCCGATTCCATACCCGATTCCAACGCCACACCCGGCGCCTACTCCGAAGATGACACGGAGGTCGTTCCAGGATCCAGCGCCCAGTCCTAGCGATCCCGTCACGCCCAATCCCAGCCCTACTCCACACCCGATCCCAGCGCCGCCGCCCGGCCCCAGGTTCCTCTCCTCGATCCACTGCAGCGATCTTTGGAGCCAGTTGTTCTTGGAGGATCTCTTGAGCGATCGCTTCCTCTTGGAGCTAAACGAGTCGAGATCCAGCTTGGGGAAGCCATCGTCCCATTTGATCGCTGCCGCCATTTGGAGCTAAGATAGAGAGGAAGAAGATCGAGGGTTTTGTTAGTTTTTGTGGTCCGGAAGAACAATGGCTATGGCGGGCATGGTTGCTCTTCCGAGAGTGTTCTTGTCACACAGGCACACCGCATTGCCGATCGCTTGCTCGAGCTCCAACGGCAATCCCAGCGCAGGTGAGATGTCGAATTCGAGGCAAAGGTGGGATTTTTAGTGTGTTTTGGTAGCCGCGGGGACGACGACGATCGCGTCCAAGAGCTTGACGCTTCACGTTGGCGAGACGTCCATCACAATGCCGATGTCGATGGACAAGGCGCGAGCGCTGAGCGGGACGATGGAAGGACTGATCCAGACGTTCCGGGAGAAGCAGCAGGCGCACGAGGAAGGAGGGCGGCCCAAGAGGCTCAAGAGCGTCGAGTTTGCATACCGCGCTGGCGATGGTGGCGATGGTGGCGATGGCGGCGAGGAGGTGGGATTCGAGCTGTTTTGCAATCCCAATGCCTACGCCAACGCGTTCCAGGCCAAGGTGCTGGTGAGCGTGAGCGATGGCAAGCTGAGCTTGAGCGCCGAGGCGGATCTAAGCACCATCAAGGCCGACGTGGATGGATTCCTCGACAGTCTTGGCTAGAGTTTTGGGAGTCTAGGTGGGCTCTCTTACTGTTCACGATAAAGGGAGAGAGAGAGACTCAAGCTCTCTCGTAACCCTTCGGTTTTCTTTCTTTCTTTCTTTCTCGAGAGAGATCGTCGTCATGGGAGTGGGATTCTTCCTGTGGCTGGTTCTAGCGATGGTGGCGGTGGCGGTGGCGGTGGCCAGGCCACTGGACTTTTTCGCAGCCCACAATCCAATTCGCATGCCCTCGAGCGAGGACGTTGCGTCCGGGACGAGGTGGGCGCTGCTAGTTGCTGGATCTTCCGGGTTTGGCAACTACAGGCACCAGGTGAGAGGAGTCTTTCCATCGCTTTCTTTCTCTATGTTCTTCGCTTCCTTCTTGTTCTAAGTTCTTCGTTTGCTCTTGTTTGCTTCCAAACTGCGCTTTCCTCTAGGCGGATGTTTGCCATGCATACCAGTTGCTGCGCAGCAATGGTCTCAAGGAGGAAAACATTGTGGTGATGATGTTCGACGACATAGCCAACAACACGGACAATCCTCGCCCGGGAACGATCATCAATCATCCCCAAGGATCCGACGTTTATGCCGGAGTTCCAAAGGTGAAGGAGTTTTGACTTGTTCGCGGATTTCTTGGAAGTTACGTTATTGATTGATTGTTCTGTGGCCAGGATTACACGGGCGCTGCCGTGACCGCCGAGAATTTCCTGGCTGTTCTTCTCGGGGACAAGAATTCCACCAGCGGCGGAACTGGCAAAGTCGTGAGCAGCGGGCCGGAAGATCATGTCTTTCTCTTCTACTCGGATCACGGAGGCCCTGGAGTTCTCGGTGATTCCTTCTTTGTTCTAGACTCGAGAAAGACAAACAACTTAGCTTGTCGTGCTTGACAGGAATGCCCGGAGAGTCGAATCTCTACGCAAATGATCTCATCGACGTCATCAAGAAGAAGCACGCATCCGGAGGCTACAGAGAAATGGTAAAGATCTTTTCATCTTTGTTCTTTCTTTGTTCGTCGTGAGCTAAAGAAGATGCTACTACTCGAGCTGCCAACTTTAGGTGATATATATCGAGGCTTGCGAGAGTGGCAGCATGGTCGAGGGATTGCTTCCACTGGGACTGGATCTCTACGTTACCACCGCTTCCAACGCGATCGAGAGCAGCTGGGGAACTTACTGCCCTGGAATGCTACCCTCGGCTCCTCCCGAGTATGATACTTGCTTGGGAGATCTCTACAGCGTCGCTTGGATGGAGGACAGGTTCTTCTAAAGTTCTAAGTTTTCTTGACGTTTGAGCTTACGAGATCTCTCTTCCAAACAGCGAAGTTCACAATCTCAAGAGGGAGACGCTACTTCAACAGTATCTAGACGTGAGTTTGCTGAATCGATCGGGATCTCTTGGTATTTACTTCGATCTTGCAGGTGAAAGATAGAACCTCGAATCACAACACTTACGAGGCCGGATCACACGTAATGCAATACGGCGACGTGGAGCTCAACTCTAACCCGCTTTCCATGTTCTTGGGCTTTGATCCCGCAATCGCGGATGGCAATGGCGACTTGATCATCCCGAGCAGTGCCAATGGTGTTAGCCAGCGTGATGCGGATTTGCTACACCTGTGGAGCAAGGTACGAAGAGAAGAACTTTTCTTTTCTAGATCGATGATTGCATCGTTTCGTCGAGTGTAGTATCGCCGAGCCAAGGATGGAAGTGCCAAACGAGAAGCTCGCGAGAGGATGATGAACGCCTTGGCTCACAGACAGCACGTCGACGAGAGCGTGGACCAAGTTGGCGAGCGTCTGTTTGGCTCCAAGGCTGCGGCATCCAAAGTTCTAAGCACCGTCCGGGGCTCCGGCCTCGCGCTCGTGGACGATTGGACGTGCCTGAAATCGCTGGCAAGTGTTCTTCGAGAACTTTGTGTGATCTTTTCGATGATCTTCTCTCTATGATGTGACTTTGTAGGTGCAAGCTTTCGAGACGAGCTGTGGTTTGCTGGGACAGTATGGCATGAAACACATGAGAGCGTTTGCAAATCTTTGCAACGAAGGAGTGGACGTACCTCGCATGGCTGCTGCTAGCGCGGAGGCATGCTCGAGTACCGCCCAAGCCCTGTAGATTGTGTAAAAAGCTTCTCATCGTTGTGCATATGAAAGATCCTGTATATAAGAAACTATATTCAATCGATCACGATGGAGTGTTTGCCACGAGTTGCTCGGCAAACCAGTCCAGCTTCTGTCTATTACTCTCTTCCAAAACTCTTCGCCCGTTAAACGGGATGTGTTCCGAGCTCTTTTGGTCCAAGAGCCGAGTAGAAATCTCGGTTAGTGTCTTCACGTTGGCCTGGCTTGGATCGTCCATTGCGAGGAGAGCTTTGCCCGGCAAGCCAGACATCTGGAAGCAAAGCAAACAAACTTTAGTCGTTCGTCAAAGCAAACTCTCAACGATAGATAACCCACCTGAATCCTCACGTAATTCTCTCGGTGCTTGCTAAACGCCATGCTGACCGTGTGATCCACCATGTCCGAGATTCCGTCCATGATGATCTTGGCAATGGGTTTGGCCCACTGGAAAGCTCCCCACCGCTCCACTTTGTTGTAGCGGTAAGTTTGATCAAACTGTCCGGTGCCGAGCGATAGAACGAGCATGTCTTCCACCCCTCGGACACCCGGGAAGCGAGCCTTGTCGTGCAAAGCATGCGTGATCGCCGCGGCGGTGGGATTGTTCACCACCAGGCCACCGTCGACTGCCGTGAACTCGTGCTTTCCATCCACGGACGAGACGTGGATGGGCTTGAAGAACGATGGAACCGCCGTGGTAGCCCGGCAAACCTCCCAGAGCTTGAAGTTGGCGGAGATTCGCGAGAAGCAAAAGGCGCTGGCGTTTGTGAGATCGTAGCAGGGAATGACGATGGGCTTGAGCGTGTCATCCAGTGTGAGATCTCTGCCATCGCCACCACCTCGGACCAAGTGCTGCTTGAGGATTCTCTCGAAGAACTTGGTGGAGTACCTGGGTGTCATGATCCCTCGGACCTTTGCAAACACTCGCTGCGGGTATGGGATCTTGAAAATCTCCTTGCCTCTGTCCGAGATGAACGTGCAAACCTCTGCGGCCGTGAAGAGAGGCCGACGTAGTGACTTAGAACCGTGGTTTTGATGATCTCCCGTGGACGATGAGGAGGAGGAGGAGATTTCTTCGTCTTGATCATCGCGGCAGTCGGATGATGCGAAGAGCATCACGGCAATGAGTCCCCCAACGCTGGTTCCAGCCGCCAGATCGAAGAAATCGGCGATGCGAGCGTCTGGATTGTGGCTCTTCTCCTTGAGAGCCGTTTCCAAGTAGGCCAGCATATGGGCTGGGATGATTCCTCTCATTCCACCGCCATCGATGCTCAAGATCCGGAGCTTCCTGTTGCTATCCTGCCCGATCACCGGCTGCTCCACCCCATTTCTCGATCGATCTTCCATCTCGAGCTCGCCGCGACGAAATTTGGGGCGAGCACAGAAAGATGATGGCGAGGGCCGGCCGCTCACGAGCTTGTTGCGTGGGATTCATTTGCGCTGCGACGATGAATCTTCCTCACCAGCTTCTAGATGTTGAAAAGAGCGATCCAAGGCCCGCCATCGCCAAAGACACAGTCGTTCTAGCTGCGACATTGCAAGAACCCTAATTCCTCTCTATAGTCGTTGAAAGTTCTTTCAAATTTAAATTCAAACAGCATCATGAATGGATAGGATCGATTGGTCACTACTCTACTAGAATGCTCCTCAATGCAAGCAGCAAGCTCTCCATGACCCTCTGCCTCGATGCAAACGTCTTGGCGAGCAGGGGCGAGCCGGGAGATTTAGAGGCTAGACAATGGAAATGATCATATGGTGAAGGAACATCAGGGCGGACGTTGAACACTGCCTGTTGCAACTGATTGAAGAGGGGCTCCTTGAGCTTCGCAAGGAAGCCCTGGTCCAACACCTGGCGCCGGATGGTAACCACCAAGTCCTCGTCCTCCTCCTGCGCAGCAGTCGACCACGGCAGATCCATCCCGGCCACCTTTACCATCGTATACAGAATGCCCTCCAGATCCGCTGAAGCGTCAACGCTGTTGCCCAACACCGAGTTCATGGAGCCAAACTCCAGGTCCTTGACAGAGCTGCTTCCCACGCTACCACCATTGTCCGAGGAAATCACGGTGGAGACGGTGCTGGATCTGCACAAGCGGGAGATAATCCATAGAGACATCAGCTCCAGGAACGTTGCTTACCGCGAGCAAGGAGTTGGTTTGGAGCGGCTCCACCTTCTCGACTTTGGGATTGGCAGGCTAGCTCCCATCTTGGCGGCGTCCCGGATAGGAAGCGTCTTGCTGTGTAGCGATTCACCAACGTAATTCATGAGCACGATCGGGCAGTTTCTCCAGCCAAACGGCTGTAAAGCCGTGCCTGACTACAGAATCTCGGGGATCCTGATCTTGCATCCACTGGCAGCCAGAACCTCCCGAACGCGGATCTCATTCTCAACCTGGCTGAAGAGCTCAATTGGAAGACCAAATCCTTCAGCTGCACACTTGACCGACTGCATGGGCCTCGCTTGAGCACCACTTGCTGCTTGCTGCCATCCAACCGAACCAAATAGCAGCCCCCGCGGAAGAGGAAGTCCATGTACGTGTGGACGAGCTCTAGCTCCCATATCTCGCCTGAATCAGACCGCACGACATACTTCTCCTTGTATGAGTGGGAAGGCTCCAGCTTTGGAATGCCAGCTCCTGGTTTCATGGTGAAACATCTGCTGGAAAAGTGCAAGGCACAGAAGATCTGGAAGAGGAGCTCCGGCAGCGCCAAACTATCCACATGCACCACTCCTGGTGTCACACCTGCGGCTCCATCACTTTCCAAGCTCCACCTGACACCTTTGACAACATGAGAGCCGACAATTGCATCTGTGAATACGACCATAGGTAATAGATCTTTGCCTGTAGACACACCACCCAACGCCACCTTCTTCTTGGCGCAAGCATCTTTCCAGCGCTTCTCTGCCCTATCCAGAACCTGGCCACACCCCTCAGCAAGCTTGGATTCGTCGTTTTTGAACTCCACGTAGATGTCGCACCACTCGTAAGCATTAGTCGATACCACCATGGCCGGCTGGACGATGCCAATAGCGAAGTCAGGTAAGGTGCTGTCGCCTGCCGCTGATCTTGCTAGTCTGTTCCTTTGGAACCGGCAGCACTTTGTGAAGTTGTGCATGTCAACATTTTGCGTGGTACAGTGGCCGACTACCAGTCGTGCTGCATCCTGGTAGACGAGATCATTGCAGGAGTCATCCGGCTCCCGAACGCACTGACGGATTTGCCAGCAGTTAGCGTGGCGCTCGATGTCGGCCCGTAGGTTCGTGAGGAGCTTTCGGACGTTCCTTGCAGCAACCGGCCCGACTTCAGCATCACTGAGTATCGCTTCGTGCTCCCAGAGATGGCGTGCTGGACTGTCACAATCCTCCCATCATTCTGATGCGCATTTTCCAAGTCCAAGTACGAGCTTTGCTCACGCGGAAGAATCGACATGAGACCGAAATACACGAGCAAGAAGAGGAACTTACTGATTATTGCTGCCGCCTCCGCCTCACGCTCACGCTCACGCGTCCTTGCCGCCTCAAGCACCTCAAACGCCTTGTCAGCGACTGACTTGAACAGTGCCCTTCAGCGCTCCCTCGTTGTTCGTCATTTCGATGTGGACTATGTCATCTTTGACGTCCTCTGATGAGGATAGATATTCCCTGATCACACTGATTTCCCTGCGAGACAAAACATTGGCATCTTTCGAAGAAGCGCGACCTATCCGCCAGCCTTTTCCAAACCCAAGGGTATTCTATTAGGAAAAGACCTTTCAAATTTAAATTCAAAGCACGAATGGATCGATCGATCGATGTAGATAATCGCGACAGAGAATCGATAGATCACTACTGCTACTGCTACTAGCTAGGTTAGAATGCTCCTCAATGCGAGCCGTAAGCTCTCCATGACCCTCTGGCTCAACGCAAACGTCTTGGCGAGCACCGCGGCCGGGAGCACGGGCACGGACGCGAAGAGCGCGTTGGGCAGCAGCGCCGTGCCCGGATTGGCGCTGTTGAAGCTCGCGATCGCCAGCGCCGGCGTCTCGCCCGTGTTCACCGAGAAGTGGATGAGAGCTCTGGGATAGATGAAGAGGTCGCCGGGCTCCAGCGTCGCCTGGAACAGCCGGTTGTCCGTGGTCACAAACCCCGCCACGACCGTTCCCTGGAGGACGTAGAGCAGCTCCGAGGACCGGGGATGGACGTGGGGAGGAATCACGCCGCCGGGGGCGTACGTGAAGCGTTGGATCGAGAGGCCCTGGGTGTGGAGCCCCGGGAAACTCTGGACGTTCACCTGCGTGACGATGGAACCCAGTCGATTGTTCTCCAGGGCGGTGGGATTCGGGGGCTCTCGCAGGAGATAGGAGACGAAATCGAGCGGAGTGACCTCGGGCTTGCAAGTGAAGCCATTCACTCGCAGCGGGAGCTCGACGTTTGCGACGCAATAATCCTGCGCTGGATCGGGATCGGCAGCGCGGGATGAGAAGATCACCAAGGAAGAAATGAGAATAAGCAGCAGTGGCGGCAGCGAGGAGAGATTTCCATGAGCCATTTTCGTGATCACGCTCCGGATCCTCGCACACTATTTATTTGACTGGGCAGTCAAATTTCAATTTCCAGTCAGCGCCATTGACTGTGTTGCTGGTAAACCTTCTCAACTTTGTTAATCTGGGCTAAACGACATAAGAGATCGTGCCCGTTGGATCAGTGATTTAATCTCGGCCGTCCCTGGTAGGGCTCCTCTACGCTCATTAGTTTAAGTCTGATGCCCTGTTCTTGCGGCGTGGGATGATCGATTGGTACCTCCTGTCTTGCCTTTTTTGTGACGCGATCTCGCAGCAAAGATGATTTCGATGGCGAGGAGGTATGGGCAGGAGCGAGTTTGGTTTTCTCCCCCGTGGAAGTGCCCTTGTTCTTGCCCAGGAACGGTGATGATTCGACAAAAAATCAGCGCAATCCAAGTCTTGTGAGTTTGATGATCGTGGTCTTCGCATCAAGCGATAGCCGATACGTTGACACCACTGAGAGCTTGCGACGATTTGGCTGAGAAAAGGCGAATCTGAGTTCTTCTCTCTTTGATTTAGCTAGGGCAGGCGATCTCCTTAAGTGGGAGAACTTTCTCAGTGTTCTTCGTGCTTTGCGTCTCGCCTAGAGTTTACATTACAGATTCTCCCTCTCCCCTTACCGAAATGCTTACTTATTTTCTTCCATTGGTGAGGTCAAGGGGTGCCTTTACTGTAACATTTTCATGCGCTTTTCTTTATGTTTTCACTAATTCTACAACCATAGAACGTTTTGGACGAAGTGGGCGAACTTTTTAATGGTGTAGAATAAGCAGCACAATGGCCTGGACTGCTGCTCCCACAATGATCACCATGAGGTAGTTTTTTGGAACTCCACTCGCGACGGCAAACATACAAATGTTTAACCAGGTTATTACAGATGTCTACAAACAGCCAACCTTCAGCGTGTAATAAGGTCCAGAAAATAGAACAAAAGAGCCTGTGTTCATCCATCTTATATCCATCTTATCTTACATTTTGATTTAAAATCTAGTCTCAAGAGATCTTTTGTTAGTCGAGAAACGAAGTAAAAACGAAATTGAAGGCATATAGCTTAGCCTCTTCGGAGGAGCTTCCATTCGATGTTGTATCGGTAGAACGTGAGTTCTAGCCAGAGCAAGAGAAGGCAATCACAAACCTGTAGTATTCACCTCCATACACTTTCAGCTCAGTGTTTTTGTGACCTGAAACGCGAAGAAAAGAATGTCAAATCCTTACGCACAGAGCAATTGCATTGTGGTGAAGCTCTTCTTTGCCTAGAAATTTAAACGAGAATGGCTCTTAAATCCACTTCACGATTCATATCATGAATTCTTCGAGCTTAGCCTCGAAGGATTAGCCTTTCTGTGTACGGTCAATCGATCTAAAGTCATTCATGTTTAAGCCCAAATCTAATGTTTCAAATGGGCTTTAGATCTTTAATATGCAGCATTTAAAATTTGTATATTTTAATTTATTCTTTGGAATATCCTCTGGGCTTAGTCGAATCAATGGCGCCATTGGAATATTGGAATCAATGGCGCCGCGACGGAATATCCTCTGGGCTTAAACATACGCATGGAAAGCTAGAAAGGATTAAGGAAGAATTACTGTGAAAGTGTTGACGTAAAGCAGATCACCACCCCCAATATTAGGCATCAGGTCAAGATAATAAAATAAAGAAAAAGCTTTGCAATGTAGTGATTACCATTGACTTAAGGTGTAATCAAAGTTAGATTTGATTCTCATGGCTAACGAGTGGGGCAAAAATATTTTAAAGAAATATTCAACATAATGGATCTAGAGGGAGAACTAAAATTTGGTAAACTATAAGAGAAAGACTATAGTGACCAAGGGTGATTTAAATATGATTGCAGATTATTCCCTAGCAAAAGGAAGATTATTAAGCACCAGGTTAAGATAATAAAATAAAGATCTTTAGCCAATTGACTTAGGGTGTAAGGGCTAATTAATCTGTCGATGGTTGACAGTAATTTAAAAAGCATGTATTGTGTGTTACAACAATTTTTTTTGTAAAATTGTTTTGTTGGTTCTTTGCTAACTTGTTCCTTTTCTTTTTCTCTACTACAGATTCTTCTTTATGTTCACACTGCTGTGGTGCACTGGAGATCAAGTTTGTCATGGACGACCATGGCCAGAACAAACTTTTATGTTAGTCAAATAAGTTCTTCTTGCCTCCTTTTGAAAAAGATGCAAGCCAGCGACATTCCAGAATTTGGAGCAGTATATATTGTGACAGCCACTGCACAAATAATATCGTCAAGAGAAATATAGACTCCTTACAGAGTAGTGTAAGAGCAACTATCATCACCTTTTGTTTCGCAGTTTTCTCTTTCTGACAAGGCTAAACATCATCTCTGCACATATCTTCTGACTCCTCTCCTCTAACCGCCTCATCCCTGGAGTGGATTTCAGAGTAATGTCAACCAGGCGTTTCACTTGGTCCCTGGATGAGAATGCCTGCAAACCTGCGGAAAAAACAATGTGACTGTCAACAGAACAACAGAAAACGCACCTTTAATGGCCACAATGTGTTGGAGATCGTCATCAACCGGAGTAAAATATCGTTTCCATGCCTCGACATTCCGTAAAGAACGTCTTTTGCTCCTGGACGACATTCCTTTCTCCTTTCCCCATAGCTCGACACCTTCGCAATTTGGGTGTGTTTCCTGGAGTGCCACTCCCATCGAAACATTTGCAGGCATCTTCTTCATTAATGCCGCTTTAACGAGTTTCCCAGTTTTGAAACTGACGCTTTGTCGTTCTGAGTTTCCAAGTTCGTCACTGGAACTGTCAGCAACATTCACGAGCAAGCTCACGTACGGTACCTCGAGTAGAGCCACCATCCCAGAAAACTCCGGGCTACATTTAGCATATGCCAAATCCAAGTTGCCTAGCGTCTTCGTCCTCTTCACTTTCACCAGAATGGCGGTCATCGTCTCCAAGCTGAACGTGCCACCGAAAAAGCCTACGATGATAATGTCTATGCCTCCACTGCAAATAATGCCAACACCCGCCTTTCCAAATGCAAGCAGATTCTCTGCCGTGAGCTCCTTCAGTGGAATGTCCGTTTTCCTGAACTGCAAGCAAAGGAACTTGGCGTCACCCACATTTTTACGGCCCTTCTCCTCGTCCTCCACTCCCAGCTCTGCTTTTCTGAGATCCGACACCGACGTGCCGCAAAGGCCACGGCATAGCTCGTCAAAAGTGAAGCACCTCCATGCATCTTTCTGCAGACTGTCCACTGCGAGTAATAGCAGCACTCGTGCAACAAGCTCGCCCCGGTAACCTCGATCAACCACCCAGCCACGCATCAGCCCGTCCTCAAGTTTTTCGAGACAGTATTGCCACCCTGTCCGCTTTCGCCCCGCACGCAAAGCCATTGCTGCAGCCGCTGCAACCACTGGCTCGACGGCCCAATCCGTCCAAACATGCTCCCGGTCGTCAGAGATAGACACCACGCTAAGCAGGTGCCTCGCAACCAAGCCAGAGACAACTCTGGCCTGAGGGTTGATGTCGAGGCACACCCTGCAGCCAAGTATGGCCAAAGGAGCCTCTTCCAACATAAAACCTTGCTCCACAAACTTGCTGAGCGAATTAGCGCCGCCAAGGAGCTTGTCGACAGCCAGAGTTAATACCTCCTGAGGATCTCCTTTAGCCTTTAACAGTGCTTGCCAGAGCGGCCGACCATAAGCGACCAGACGACCAAGATTTTCCACTTTGCCAAGCGGAAGGCTACCTGTTCCTGTGTCTGACGGTGAGTGTGCCGCGAAAAAGCAGTACGCTGGATGTGATACTGCCGTTCCATGTGCAGCTACTCGGTCGCTGCTGTGCGGCCTACACGGAGGTGCAACATTGCTCCCAGCAAAATCGTTGGTGTCTGTATATAAGGCAACGACCTCTCCAGTCCCTGGAAACAGCCTGGCAGCCCTTCTTGCAGGATCAAATGCAGCAAAAGCTCGATGATCATCACACCTGCCAAACCATCCAGCTTCATCCATGACAAACAAAACCTTGAGTTTTCCTTTGGGAGGATCCGGTAACTGCTTCAGTTTGTCGGTATTCCGCATTCGCCGATGTACCCGATCTTCCCATGCGCCCCAGACATTGCTCGCTCTACTAGGCTCCTCCAGCAGTACCTTTTCAAGTGCAGGATAGCGGCGTTCCCACTGTTTTTGTCGACTCTCAATCTTGGCCTGCACTAGACGCCAGAATTCCTCTCCAAGCATTAGTTCCTGCAGGAAGTCCTCTGCCGCCAACTGCTTGTCCACGGCGACATCGATGCACGACGAGAAGTAGTGCATGCAGAAGAGCATAAACCTGCTCTCTGACACAAGCCGAGAACCCGAGCTGAGCAGCCTGACGGCGCTTGTGTAGAAGAAGTCCGCAATGGCAGACCTTGGCGGGTAAGTAGTGGTGGCAGATGCAAAGGAGCAGTAAACCACGAACACACCTCGACTTGCAAGCTCGCAGATAGTCCTCGACTTTCCCCAGCCACTCGACTGCACTAGAGTAACGACAGGTGCTATCCGATTCTTTGCAACCCAGGATGTTCCTGTTTCTTCAATCTTCTGACGCAAGAGATCAACGTTGTCTACTCCCCCCACAGTCCGATACTCCCCTTGAAACGCTCTCTCAACGATTCCCGGATCATCTTCAGTCTCTTCAGAAGTCTCTGAATGTGGCATTGGTTTTGGACCTGTTATTTTTTGTTTGTATCGTGAGAACTAGCTTGAAGTTGGGAATGAAAAACAAACCGTACCTTCGAGCATCTTCATGGCCAAGTCCATAATCCTGCCAGGAGATTTCTCGTGGACCATTTGGATTACTATAGATTGCAACCTTTTCTTTTCTCTTGCGGCCGCTGATTCTTCAGCCGCTTTCCGCTTTCTCAGCCCTGAAGATGCGGCGGCTTTCTCCTGAGGAACAAGGCGCTGCTCATCGCCTCTCCGGAGCTGCAGGCCTGACTCTTTTCCAGATCCATGGCGCGGCGGACCCATGCCTTCCACTCTAGTCTCGCATTATCCCTGGCCCTAAGGAATTATATAGGGTGCCCCAGATGATTCATGAACACCTGGCTCGTGATGCCAAACTTGGTCGCGACCTGGACTCTCTCTCGCCAGGTGCTAATCGCCTGCAACACAAAAGAGAGCGCAGAGACGAGAGTGAGTAGCACTGACATAACCTTTCTAACGAGGATTTCATTTTGTGTGTGGACATTGGATAACAGTGTTCAACAAGAAGAGTGATCCCCAAATCGTGACAGCCTTGTGGACACTCGGGCTTAGAACTCTCATCTCTCATTTTCTTCCTTCAAAAAACCGTCTATTTGGGTACTGTTAAGAAGTTCAAACTACCAGCTTTAGACTAGGATCTATTTGATACCATCAACAAGTTCCAATCAAGCCATAGGGCCATTCGTTCAAGAAATCTCATTGACACGGATGAGATAATGCCAAAAATCAAGCACAGGAGAGCATGCAAATGCCGCAGCACCAAGAGAAGACTATGACAAACTAATGGAGGAAGAAAAGCTCTCTATCTCTTGTGATTGTTCTCACAGAAGGCAATAGCATACTGGCTGAACAGTTTGAACAAGCTCACATTCTCGAGAAAGAAAGGCTTCATCCAATGCACACTTCACACTAGCTTTTGAGAAGATGATAAAGGCTATTTGTTGGGGTTGTTGGTTTTGAGCTCAATTCACAAGTTGAGCTCGAGTTAATAGAAGTCAATGTAGTTCACCAAATAGATGTTGAGATGATTGATTCAGGATGAACTAACAAACTGCAATGTTTAAATCTTTGCAATGCCATTGTTGTACAAACTGCCCGGCTCTTGATTCTCTTCCAGAATCCCAAAGATTTCTTAAATTTTGCCATCTAAGATATTACTATCCACATCATCTGCCATGTGGATTAAACCACACTTCAAGTGTTTCTCCAATACAGCCAGCAGTTCATTGAGGAGGCATGTTATTATTTGCCATTGAAGCAGAAGTTGCAATCTTGGATGAAGTGTTAAACAATTTCAATCACGCTTAAGTAGCAGATGCGTCCCTCCCACGGCATTTTACAT